TTTAAAATCTTCCATTTATGCTTTTTCATCATTTGCACAGTATTTCTTTACTAAGCTAGAAACACTAATTAGAAATAGTTCCCGGATCATCAAGAACAATAGGGAAGGCTTGAAGTGAATACAATAATCTAAACGGTTTTGTAATCCATGTGAAGACACTTCTAAAATTGCCTGTAGAAATATTAAAGGCAAAAGTTCAACTTTTTCACAAGACGGATGGCTATAAGCCTATTCAACGTGTGACAACTCAGCCGGTATATCGTCGCCTACAGCCCAGCTTTCCCTAGTGACCGATAGAGGCGCTGCTATCGATGTCCGCCCGTGCCGCCTAACGACTCTATCGATGTTACTGCTATGCGATTTCAAAGAAATGGATGGCGTTAAGTTTTCTGATCGTCGATTTCACTGTCGTTGTCATTGTGGTTTTGCCTGGTTTAGATGAAAAAACGTGATGGTGGTGACGATTCATTTATTGCTATCCATAATCCAAAACTATATTAATCTCGACTAGAGGAATAACTTTAAACAGTAGGTATTACTCATCCAGGTAAAGAACAACAGTCAACACACAGTCACAGCATAGTCCATAGAGTCGTATCGTCACAGAATAGACACAAGAATAGGGCAGCGATTTAAACAGACGGGCCAGTGTAAGCTGTTGTTTATAAACTTACATCCATCTAACATACGCCTCACAAGTCATAACACGCCTCATAAGTCACTAATTATCCTGTATCAGAGCCCGGTGCGCTGTTCACAGGTGCCGACTTTTGCGTACGAGAAGCGTCTCTCGCGAATCGAAACGCTGCGACTGGCTATCACGTACATCGCCTTCATGGCCGAGCTGCTGAGCGGCCCTCAGGAGGGCAGTGACCAGCACCTGGGCTGCCGGCCGCTGGCCGCCCCCTGCTACCCCTGCCCCCGGCGTGCCCTTCAGTCAGCTGCGCTCCATCTGAACGGCGCTTTAGCGGAGAACGGCGATCTTTGGGTGCATCTTTGGTCACCGTTATACACTTATACACTATACAGCTGTTAGTCTTTGTGTAATGTTCGCGTAAGTTCTCAGAGGCTTGATTTTTGTTTATTGATGTGTTTAATGCAATGTGTGTTGTGTACGACACTGACTAATCTGGTAATCTCTCCTCGGCAGATACTCACGTCCGTATTATTTTAGGTTAGGTCTTCAAATCGACCTGAAATGTCAGTGGAACTTGCTGGACGTGACAAACCAAGTGAATGTGTTGCAGATGGTAGAGCAACTGTACTATGTCTTCCAACGTCTTCCATGAACGTGTTCACCCTTCGACGCTGTATCCCCTTCTATATACGTAAGCAGCAGGATAGGATACTAAATGGATTGTGTAACTACGTGGCCCGCGGCACATGGTGTTATATAGCCTGCCATCTTATTTATTGTTACACGTATTATGCTCAATATTTTGAACGTTTTATTGCACCTTTGTTTACGCTAAGAATTAGTGATGTCAATTACGGAAAGTCGGAATACCGATACCAAACCAAATATCAACCAAAACCATGGGGAAATACCGAAACCAAACCAGCTTGGAAACATGAGGGAAATACCAACTTTTTACCAATTTCTCAGCCTCTTATACACTTGTGAGGGTTCATGATACCAACAAAATACCAAACACTTTAGGATTTAAATACCAAATACCAAGTTGGTATCGGTTTGGTATCGGTATACCAAAAAGTTGGTATCCGATTGACATCTCTACTAAGAATAGTCAGCAGAACTATATACTCGTAAGTGTTGTCACAATACTACATGCATTTACAGGAATATATGGAGAACAAAGTAGAAGACTGCTCAGGTGAACAGTCGAAGTACGTTTTAGAATCGTAAAGAGGTTCACTTGTGACGTCACAGGCAGTGATCTGACCTGACCACAAATTATGGTTGAGGTCAAAGATTTGACTTGAATTAAAGGCCAGGCGTGCAAACTGCCAATTTTCGGCTCTCTATGGCGAACGCGTTCCGAGTAATTGCGATAAATTTTTCTGGGGGGGGGGGGGAGTGAAACCCGCCCACTCCCCCCCGGCGAGGGCTAATTTTAAGCTATGCGTTTTGTGTGACGTCACTGTTACCAGGTCAGGTCTCACAGGATAGGTAAGAAGGGTCACACAAAACTATACACCATGGTCACCCCTCTCATTGCTACGAAGCTATAACGAAACTACTCATTGCTACAAAACTATACGCATCTTATACCGCACATAAATAGGCATCCTTTCAGTTTCGTGGTAGTCATACCGTCGCACGCTCAGTAACGGCTAATTACAATACAATACAATACAATACAACACAATACTGGTATTTCATATCAATCCCATCAGCGCCAACAATCAGTGCATTTCCACCACTGCATTATCAATGGTGGCTCTTTGTCCCTCTCTCTCCTCTCTCTCTCTCTCTCTCTCTCTCTCTCCTCTCCTCTCCTCTCTCTCTCCTCTCTCTCTCTCTCTCTCTCTCCCCTCTCTCTCTCTTTCCTCTCTCTCTCCTCATCTCTCTCGCTCTCTCTCTCCTCCCCCTCGTCTCCCTCTCCTCCTCCCCTCTCTCTCCCCTCCTCTTCTCTCCTCCGCTCCCCTCCGCCTCTCCTCTCTCTCCTCTCTCTCCTCCCCCCTCTCCCTCTCCTCTCTCTCTCCCCCTCCTCTCTTCCCCCTCCCTCAAAACTCCCTCCCCTCTCTCTCCCTCCCTCTCCTCCGTCCCTCGTCTCTCCTCCCGTCTCATTTCCCTCTCTCCTCTCTCCTCCCCTCTCTCTCCCATCTCCTCGCTCTCTCACTCTTCCCTCTCTCTCTCTCTCTCCTCTCTCTCTCTCTATCTCTCTCCATCTATCCGCGTGATTGGCCACGGATATTGCTGCATTTCGCTGCGCCACTGTTGGCTGAGGAGCAGCGGCGAGCTTTGCGCCGCGTTCGCCGTCACTTCCTCCATGATCAGGCCTTGGAGCTCCTCGGGATGCATCAGCAGTAGGACTGGGACTGTTCCCCGCGAGAAAAGATGTCGTTAATGTGCAATACGCAATTAATTGCGAGATATATCGTGCACATGAAGCTAACAATGTCATAAATGCACCTTGTGGACGCATAAATCATTTTGAGATTCGTGCCAGACATAGACATGGTTTGACTAGCATATGCTCTTTCTCTTTACATACTGTTCTTATTTTTTTGCTGTTTGAATGGTAATTTAACTGCTTCGATTCAACTGATCATTCGTATCCTCCTCTTGGATTTTGTCAAGCTATGTAACTGTGCACGTTATTTTACACGCTACCTACCAATCTTTCACTGTACGGAGGCGCCGGCCTGGATCAAGAACTTTCCGACCGTCTCCACCTCCGTCATGCCCATGGCGTAAGTGCATCGGAGTTCTCTCCAGCTGCACACGCAAGACATAAGCCGGTCAAGCCCAGCCTAAGTCGTCAGTCGGTTAAACACCCGACCCGCTCCCGAAATTCGGCAGCTCTCCATGTTTCCCCGATCGAGACACCTAGGGCGTGGGAACCACCAGCGGCTCTGCCTCCCCCTCCCTCTGCCCTCCCCCCGCGGCTCTGCCCCCTCTCTCCCTCTGCCCTTCCCTTCGTTGTGTCAGTCTACACAGGCTGCAGTACCGACCAACAGGGGACGTATTCAACGAGAGGGGAGCAGACGAGTCTCACACCCAACAGCCGACGTTATGACAGTATTGACTTTACGATGAATGACACGTGTTGGAGAACACAGATTATTAGTGACGGGGAAAACAACTGGATGAAGCGTTACGGGGCGGACAAAGGAATTGTCGGCAATTTCCGCGGACCAGAGACTAAATCTCGACCGCCCGGGGATCAGGCCTGCCAAAAGGTAACTGTGCTGATAATTGATTACTGATTAGCGGATGCTGTCGAAAGATGAAAGGGAACATGGGGTTCTCTCATGGAGGGGGAAAGCAATTTATGTTATTTAACAACGGCAGCTACTGCTTATAGTCGGTAGATGTAAGGAAAATCACTGAAATCGAACGCATTGTGACTGGTTCCCGTCTGGTTTCCCACGTAGAATACCTGAACCAGCAGGCCATAATGAGATAAGTGCTCTAAGGATGCCTTCCGAGAGGACTTCAAAATAGAGTGGGAGGCCTTCCGAAATAATACCTCCACCCCATTATAATGACTCCCTCCAAAAGACAACCCTCGATTCCCTTTGGAATGCTTCCATTCCCTGCCCTCTCACATTGTCGCCCTGATGCACGGTGCTGGGGAACTTGTCAGCGATGAGCCGCACAATATCCGCCCTCTGCCAGAGCACAGCGGCGTGCAGAGCCGTTCTGCCGTGACCGTCCCGGCCTCGGCCAGCGAGGCTCGTCTAGGTGACGCCGCACGTGGCCGGTGGCGCCAGCACGGACAGCACGGAACAGCCAGTCGCGCTTCTCCTGCGATAGAGACGGACGGCAGGGGCGCGGAGGGAGGGGTGAGTGAAACGGGCCTGGTGAGGTGGGTGCTGAAGGGTTTTGGTTTGTATCATCGGGAGCTTGTGATGAGGCTTGACCTTGCCTTGGATTGAATTTTTAGACATCGTTGAAGACAGTAAGAAGTTGCACCGTATTGCTCGTTCAAGTCTAAGTTTTCTGTGTAGTAATGCGATTCACAATACTATATTCGACAGCATCGGCAATTTGGAAGATTTCGATTAGCTAATAGTTAGAATGCCAATATACCTTGACCTAAGTGCAGAACTGGCTAATCGCCATGGCAATTCCTTTTGACAAAAAAAAAAACTATACCTACCGATCAATATGCGTGCGACTTTCCAGTGACGGACCTAGACTTTCCTTGATTACATCTCGATTTCATCGTACAGCGTCTTAATGCAGTGTCTATTTTTTACTTCAACCCACCCTACTACATCTTAAAGTACCCTACCGCACCTCGAATCCGTAGAAGCTGCGCAGGAAGCCGACAGTGTCCTGACTGGCGTTCTGTTCTGCCACGTGCACAATGTTCCGATGACGGCTATCCTCCGCATCAAGGATGTGGTCATACCCGTCTAGCAGTAGCTGACCTAGCCGCTCCGTGTCCCCTGTAGGTGGACATAAAAGTCTTCAGGACAATGAAATGTCGCAATGTTCGGGTTTGAAATTTGATATATCGAAAAAGCCCAGCCATTCTATATAGTTTTTGGATTAATTTTAATGCTTTATAGGGATGAGATTGGGTATGTACCTAAGTCCATCACTTTACAACGCTTCATGTTTTGCCTCCTCTTGGAATATTTACCAATCCTGGCAGTCTCATCATCTAAAATTCGTTCGCCGCTTTCTCCACCCTCCCTCACCTCTGGCAGCCAGAGAGGTCACCCAAGCGTCGATGGCCGCTACATTTTCGGAGAGTCCCGCAGCCACCGCGGCATCCCGCGCGGTGGCATAGCGCTCGTCTCGGTCGGCCAGACTCAGCCCTGATTGGTCGAGAAGCCGAGAGAGGGCGTGGCCTCGGTGGGGCCGCTCGGCGGCAAAGTGCAGGATCGAACGGCCGCGGTCGTCCTGGGCAGGGAGGGGTGAGGGGAAGGGGGAGGACGGTCAATATCGCTCGCCATGGTGTGGCAACGGCGCAGTTGAGCTTCTGGGCACGAGTTTGGCAATATCGGAGAGGTTGAGCCGAAACAGAGTTTGCTATTTGAATACTGACTGAAGGTTTTCACCGAGAAGAAGACAGAGAGATTGAGATCAAAAGTCGAATGTTAAAAGTCGAAAAAATTGCATAAATCGCGATTGCAAAAATTAAGCGATAAGCGACATAACGCTGACAACTCACTCTTCTCAGCAGAGTTTTCACCTCCACATCTTGACCAGCACCCTCGTCTCCCGCAGGCGCTGTGAGCGCTTGTGACTCAGCCTCTTCTGCCAGTCCGGAATGGAAGACGTCCCTCTTCCGCTCTACCTCGCTCTCTCCCTTCTCCCCACGAATCGCACGGCTCTCTCTAGCCGCAGCGCGGCGGTACAGTACAGCCGCCAGGAGACCTATCGGTCCTCTGGGCGCACTTTGGCCACAGCGGTTAGCGCCTCGCTCAGAGGGCCCGCCAGCTCTGCCGAGAGAGGAGCAGATTGAGGTGTGCTCAGCGTGCTTATTGCCTTCAGTGCTAATTGTTGTATTTCATATAGTTAGAAGTTTGACATTACGATTTAAGGATTTCACAGGGTAGGTGATTTGTGGATATACTAAACATACATAATAGAAGCTATACATATGCGTTGGGGTGAGTTAGATGAAGTTTTGTTTCGCTTGTCTTCGATGGGTAATAGTGAATGAAATATATTACAGATGACGTTAAAATGCGTAAATTCGTAAATTCTAATGAGATGCTACATGAATGAGATGGTAATATTGATCGGCTTCATCAGTCTGTCACTTGCCCAATATATTTTCAATGAAAAAAGAAAACCAACATTTGCAAATAATAAAATACCTTGCATAAGATTATTATCGGTTTTACCTCACCTTTCATGAGATATTGTCCATTTGCCGAGCTCAGGTCTCCGCGGAAGTGATTGCTGTCTCTTCCAGTGGCCGAGACGTCTGTCTTCTCCACTGAGACCGGTAGCGCACCTGACCATTCGAAGCTATTAGCAGTCCGTACCACCGAGTATGAAGTTCACACTCGATTTTGTCTCTGAACTTGGATGCATTTTGGTCTTTTTATTGTGACAGACTTATGTGGATGATGATAAGCCGTCGAGATTATTTCTAAGCGTTTTGAAGAAAGAACGTAACTGCAGCTTCATTAAACATTAATGTGTAGAATGTAGATGGACAATGTGATTGCCGGCAACAGTCGAAGAACGAGCAAAAATAAAAAGGCAGCGCAATAACTGTTTTGGCAAGCCCGAACTACGTGTTCCATGATGCATAATTATATTATACATGGTAGCAGGTAACAGAGTGCATATCAGTGCAAGCTCCTACACACCTATGTACATCCTAGAGTCCAGCAGTGTCAGCAGCAAGAAGATGCCGTGTTGCTGATTGACATGACTTGCTAAGCGCACGCGTGTTTGAGGCTCCCAGCAAGCACCAAAGTGCTTGCTAGCAAGCGTTGTTAACCCGCCCCCACTGGGGGGGGGGCTATTTATAGCCCCCCTCCCGTTTTTCTGCAATAACTTCCAAACCGCTTGACGTATCGACGCTAAACTTTCAGTACCTTCGGCTGCATCAATTTGACACCTTGTGTCAAAATTTGAACTTCGTACCTACCATAGGTCGGCCGGAAATGACGTCAGAGTGACGTCATGTTCGGCCGATTTCGACGCAAAACATTGAACCACGGCAATCGCTCCCAAGAGCTCAGTTTTTAAGCTAGATCCAATTTCTTTGCATGAGAGGACTCAGAATAGACTGCGCTATCAAACTGCTATCTCGGATTTTCGAAATTTTGAAAATTTCGAAAATTTAAATAATAAAATTCAAAATTTATATTTTTACATTTTTTCAAAAAGTTTTGACTTTTCGAAAAAACCGGAATATATGTGATAGAACGCATTATAATGACTACCTCTAGCAAGTTTTAGCTAAATATCTTCAAAAATGGCCAAGTTATACGCATTATTGCAAAAAATTAACAATTATTAATTTTTCAAATCAATTTTTCAGCACGAATTTGACATCGTACGCCAATATAAATAGCACCATCGTGTTCCTGAGCTCAAACTGCATCGCATAGACACCTTTTTTGTTGAAAAAATTATAACTTCAAAATTTGACCTTTTTTGACCTGAAAGTGACCTGACCTAAGCTAAATTGACTCAAAATGACCTCGCATGACACAGACGACATCAAATTCGAAATGTTTGGCCTAAATGGACCATAAAACATGTGTCACGTGACCAACGGATGATATAATATTTTCGTGACCTGTGATGACCTGACCTTGACCTGAAAATCAAAGTACAAGTTTTGTACCCTCAGAGTATCTAGAGCATCTGTTCAGGAGTGTGTGAACCAAAAATGAGCCTGATCTGACTTGTAAGACGGCGGCCAGAGCCCAAAACGTGAAGAAGCCAAAATGCTAATAATTTTTACTTTGACCTGACCTGTGACGTCATCAGTGACCTCGAGGTCAATAAAATTAGGTTTCGCTCGACAGTTTTTCCGGGGCTATCAGACGCCGTTTGAATTTTGACGATCGGCCCAGTAGTTTCGGAGTTAGGAGGGGGGGCTATGAATAGCCCCCCCCCAGTAGGGCGTGTTATACGCAGACCCCAGTGGGGCGCGGGTTAAAAATGGAGTACATGTGTTTCAAACATAAAGCTTGCATAAAGCCATGCATTCGAAATAAAATCATGCATTTATGGAGACGTTAACACGCGCAGTGGAAGGGGGCGGGTTCCGCCCACCCCTCCTGTTTTTCGCCAATAACTCGCGCTGCAAACACGATATTAATGTGAAATTTCGGCTACCTCTCTAGAATTGAACTGCGGATCTTCTCGTGCAAGAAATAAGAGAATCGGGCCACAACTTGTCTTGTAATAGCGGTGTAAAGTCAAACATCCTGCCGCCGCGGCGGCGCGGCGGCGCGGCGGCCGGCGCTAGCCGTTACGCGCCGCCTGAATTGTAGACTGTGCCGGGGCGGGACGGTTCCGTCTTTACATCGCGCTCCCTACCGTTGATTATATTCGATTCGCGTCAAATTGTGTGAGAAGACCAAGAAATGTACAGGCACTCTCATGGTCAAAGAATTTTGAAAATCAGCCAGTAACAACTTGAGTTATGAGCGTGTAAACACAAAATTGTGATTGCCGCGTTTCCCGCGTCGGCCGATCCCGCTTCAGCCGGCGACATCTTACCCTTAGCAGGCTTCTAGCCGCCATATTTATTGTTGGATTAACTAGCAATTCACCATACATACTCACAACTCTATATTAGTTCGTATAGTGAAAGAAAAAAGAAAATCGGCTGGTAACTTTTTGAGTTATCGGCGTGTAAACGCAAAAAAAGTCACTCATATGGCAGATTTGACCACATTTGACCTCATTTGACCTTAAAGATATTGACCTAGGGTCGTGAAATTCACACACAACAGAGTTCCCTAAGGCTTTCACCTACTCTCCAAATTTCGTCTTTCTAGCTCCAGTGGGAGCTGAGATCTTATGGGGGGCGGCATCCGCCCCCCTTCCACTGGGCGTAGTACTCGCAACCCTTCCAATGCGCGTGCTAAGTTCATGTTGTGTGCATTTCATAAGTACTTCATAAGTATTCAGCTGAATGTACTGCCATCTCCAAACGACAAATTAGGCTGATACCTGATGGTCATTGTTCGTGTTGTGCAATGCGTACATACCTATTTGTTTAGTAAATAAGCAGTAGGTATGCAAATTGCACAACGTTGCAATTGATAATATCCGGTTCATTTGCATACTTTAAAAGCTAAGTTCTATTCTTCATCAATTAGGAATCCCTATTTGGTTCTCGCACCCTCGTAAGCAGCTTTACGCTGCATTAATTCATGTTGTTGTATTTATTATCATGAATTTGGCATAAGAATTATATGCGGTATGTTCATCCAATTATGTAATTGTTGTTTCAAGCTGAATTCAACTCATGCTTAGGTCCTTTTAACGTGTAGAACTTCGTCAGGCATTTGCCAATCAATCATGCTGGGGAAATACATCACACTGAAGCTGCTATACAAAATAAAAATGGTAATCCGTACTTTTGACGGTAAAAATCTAACGATGTCATTTCAACTTCAGGTAAAAATCGGACAACGTCAAGCTGCGGCTAAAACTACAACATTTGACAAATTTCAGTGTTAAGTGCTTGTGGCCACTGCAAAGCACACGGTGCCTCTCTTCACTCAACTGACCTGAACACGATGCTTGAACAGGAACGACTTGAACATTACGGCTTACGAGCTCGCATCACGAATGCATATTACGGGTTGCAGCTGATAAGGTGCCACACCATCTTCTCCACATCCAGAGAGTATGAAGGGCATTCGTAGGAGATGGGAAGCGTCCGCTTGAACAAACTCTGCGCTTACACACAAGCACTTCCTCGTCTTAGACATAAAAAGTTTTGCCCTTGTTCGTTTATTGAAGACCACAACTATTTTATTGCTACACATTCACATTTCACAACCACTATGACAAACTGTACGTCAAGCTAATAGTCAAAGTATGACGTGAAATGCACTACGTACTATGAACAGGAGGGGGTTTTATCTTTCGAAGTGTTTTGTTTGTGTTATTGCTGCGAGGTTATACCGTTACATTTGAATTGGAAACCAAAAGATACCTTGCATACAAACGAAGCTAGCGACAGGCTTGCACTTCTAACAGGGCGCATACATTATATTCAATCGGTTGCTCGGCTTCCAGACTACATTTTTACATTGTAACTATTGACAGAAGCACCGCATCCTCTGCGTAGAACTTGCCGAGAAGCAAGACAATGAGCTTGACTACGATAGAGGATGACGCTAACTTAATGATATGATAGAGCGTTTTAGTTTTGCATAGTTCAATGCGTTTAGGGATCTAGCTAGTATCAAGCAAACATCACAACGGCTGGACAATACGACCATGTAGTCCCATTCGGTATGACAGCCAAATCCACATGCCACATCAGCATACAATGCAACGTACAGAGCGTCTAAATAGGCATTGCACTTTGCTCTCAAGCCCACATTTTCTCAGCAAATCGGCAGACACAAATAACCATTCGAAGATCCGTCTCGCTTCTTCCGATTCATAACCATTAGTCTGAGCAGACGGTATCAAGTTGTATTCTACATATAACCGAACTCATTAAAATTATATCGACGTTAAAGCTACCTTTTCATTGCCGTTGCAGATCAATGAAAGCAACTTCTCGGTCACTTGCTCTTCGACTTGAGAGCTGATCATTGTTGTTCATAATCGCCACTCTACCGCCATTTTCGAACGTTATTAGACAACAATAATCACCTTTTTACACAGGAACAAGTGCATGGTTACCGATCTCTCATACCGCTACTTTATTCTCTTCTGAAACCGTCACAAGACGAAACACAAACACAAAGGTCGACAGGTCGACAAATCTCACAAAAGAAAAGACACGATCTACCGAGCCCAACCATCTCTTAGAATGTACACTCATAAACGCACGTACACACGACATCCTGGTGCTTCCCTGTCCATCAATCACCTCTTCTGCCCGTGTCTCTCGCAATCACCGCGCTCACTTTTTGGCGTCCTTCTCCATCTGAATGATCTCCGACACGCCCTGGTACATCTCCGTTACAGCGTCGATCTCGGTCAGACCCAGCCGGCGCTTGTTGCTCAGGTCAAACACCCCCTCACTGCTCTCCGAGTGCTCTCCGTGAGTGCCGCGCACCTGCAGACCCAGGCGCGCGCACTCTTTCTCCAGACGAGCGCGGTCGCGGCCAAGTCGCGGCAGGCGCACGTGCACCGAGGCGCGGATCGCCGTGCCGAGGTTGGTCGGACAGAAGGTGACCGAGCCCAGACGACGGTCACGGCGCAGCTTCAGGTGTTTGCCGAGGTTGACGAGCGCGGTGACGAGCCGCGCGTACACGCTGGTGACGTTGCCGCCCTGCTCCATGCTGATGATGCGCAGGTGGTCCTCCTCGCTCACCCAGACCAGGAATGTCTTGGCGGCGTTGTGGAAGATGCCGCGGCCCTTGGGCCAGTGTCGTGACGCGTTGGCAGCCTGCAGGAACCGGTCACCCTCCTTGAAGAGGAAGTGGTCCTCGATGAGCTGCTTCTTGTCCTTGCTGCTCATCCCGTCCAGGGGGTAGTAGGTGCCGGCCAGGTCGCCGGTCAGATCCTGCAGCACCTTCACTACCTCCCTCTCCATGTCGATGTAGTCCGTCTCGGTCATCAGTGGGTTCAGCGGATACTCCTCCAGGCTCCGCGCCGTGCGGATCCGTGTGCTGATGACGTACTTACCCAGCCTGGACAGGTTGCCGAGCACCTTGGTCAGCTGCTTCGGATGGCCGAACGTCACCGGTGGCTGGCGGTCGCTGGGCCCGAAACCGGCATGATACTCCTCGATGATCGGATCAAACAGCGGCGCGAACACCGTGTACGCGTCTCCGTCTGGCGCGTACACTCCCACACCCGAGTCCAAGTTCTCGACGCCGGAGCGAATGACATCCATCAGAGTCGCGCCGTGGCGCGTGCGACGACGCTTCACCTGCTCGAGCACCTCCGACGTCAGGTGCTTCCGCAGCAGCGAGGTGGCGTTGGAGCGCTGCAGTTTCTCGAAGGCGGTCTCGATCTCGCGCACCTCGGCGTCCGAGGCATCCTCGGTGAACTCGACGTCAGCTCCGGAGGCCGACACGCGACTCACACTGCGCGAGCCGCGGTCGTCCACGCTGAGGCGGCGGTCGATGCGCGAGCTGCGTCCGTCAGCGCTGGAGCGGCGGTCTGCGTGAGAGTCGCGTCGATTCGCCCCCGCTGAAAAGGGCCTCGGGTCAGCCGTCTGGATGAAGGCTCAGTTGAAGGTAGATGCGCTGGCTGTTTGATGTTTGAGCAATGTTTGAATGAAGTCAAGGTTGGACGTTTATTGGGCGAAGTAAGGCTATCTAAAGTGTGTTTTGTTTCAAACGTGTTGCCAGCATTAGGCATGCGGAACTTGTCCCACCATTATTTTTACGCATACTTTTGCGATGATTTTAATCGCAACAGAGCCCCAAGTACATATGTCATCGCACTTCAGTCTGACATTAGCAAGCTCTTGTATAATAACTGGGTGTTGGGAATCTGAGTTTGAGTTTTTGTTCTTTGAAGTATGTCTCTAAATAATGACAGTCAATGAAAGTGAACTTTCTATTACACCTCAAAAGCCGTTTCATAATCCATTAAGTTAACAGGTAGAACCTATTTTTGGAAGACCAGCAGTAGACAAGACAACAAAATACCTTTATCAACCCGCGCCGGGCCCGCGGGAGAGGTGTTTGGACGTCCCCTCCCTACGGTATTTCGCAGATAGCGCCGCCATTTTATAATAAGTTCTTGCTGGCTCCAAATAATCGTTATTTAATGCAAATGTCCTTTATAATGCCACTGAACTTCAAAAATAATAAGCTTCGTTGCCTTTGACCGAAATGTATCGACCAATACTGTTTAAGTTTGGAGCCCAAATGAACAACCATTTATTTTGCAAGAGGAGAAGATGCAATGAAAACGTGATTTCTTTAAAAGTTTGTCAAATATGTACATGTGCGTAAACTTGGACACGCTTGTGAGTTTATGGTGCTATGAAGTACTACTTACAATATAAATGGACTTGAATCTTGGAGGCTCGTTCAAAACGGCTGGCCCCCTGTGATGGGTGAAGATTTTTTAATTTGTTGGTGCTGGCCATTAACCAGCACATTAACTTTTTCGGTTGTGAACTACTCGACATGAAGCGTGGTTGGTGTAAAACTGCTTAAACTGTTTATTTAAGAAAATGTGCTCTGAATAGAAACGTGTGGACAGGTAACGATAAACATGCGACGAAAAGTGATCTAATAGCTGAAGCTTTGCCGAATTGGCAATGGGAGCATTCAGTGAACAGATAAAACAGACAGCACATATGTAAAAGTGGAAGCATTTAAATATCTTTCAATCCTCAACCGTCGCTGCAGACATTTTCCTTTACAACACGACATAGCCCAACATGACAGCGAATATAAAAGTAGCTGGTGTTGATTGGCTCCCGACATTGAACGTGAGCAGCTTTTCCCGTTAGTGAACAGGCGCACGGTACCGGCATGCATGGGAGTGTATTCATGAAGGACTCACCGTCAAGCTCGTCCTCTGAGTCGTCATAGCTGTCCGACTGCTGACTGACAGTGGTGTAGCGCAGGGATCCGCGGTGGTCGGCGTAATACTGAGGCTCCCGACCGCGCTGGAAAACGGCACGGTGAGGTCAGAGCAGGGTAACTCAGGAAGCAGCTTGACTCAGTTCAGCTTGACTCAGTTTGGCTTATTTGAAGTAAGGAATCACATTCAAGTGTACTTCAAAGGACTCGATGGTAAAGCACGTTGATGATCAACATGATTTTAATAAAAACAAAACACAACCCGTTTATGTACTACCTTGTCCTTGATGTCATCCCTGGCGCCGGCCTTCTGCAGCAGTTTGTAGACATGCTCTCCGTCGCGGCTGCCGGCGGCGTAGTGCAGCGGGGTGCGTCCGTTCCTGTCCTGGGCGTCCATCGTGTCGGGGAAGTTCTGCACCAGGTACCTCACCACGTCTGAAATAGCGGAACGAGGTGTTAGAGCTGGTGTTGACGTTGACGTAAAGAAGATATGTCAGAGCTGGACCCCTGAAATATTAAGAAGCAGTCAAACAAGCAAGTAAAACAAACGCATACACATTACACAAGCCAAGGCACAAACAAACCGAGTGCCAGAGCTGGAATTATAACAATGCTCGGAAGTTTATTTTACATATATGTGTGATTCTGACCGATCGCGTGAGAAAAGCTCATGAGATTACTCGTAAATTTATTACTGAAGTTGGGGCTAATGTTTTTGATAGATTGCGCTTCAAGAAAGCTTGGTAATGGTATTTTATGTGAAGGCTCCTACTCTGTACCGTATACAAAGCATTTGCTGCATAAAATGCATAATTATACATACTGTACCCATTGTCAGGGTATATTGAATTAGGCATTGTGACATTTCTTGTAAGCGGGCAAATTTATTCAACGTACACTTGCAGCAGGTTACAGCAGTCATTACTCAACATTTAGGTGAGGTATAGGTACATAGCATGCAAGAAATACATCAACAGTAAAAATAAGACAAATGAACATAAAATCCTAGTTACCTGATAGCTGAATATGCTGATAGTTTAAATCACGTTCTAAATGCTGACAGAACGCCAAGACCAGCACCACTCGTAGCGAGGTCAGGCCAGTCATTTTAAATATGCATATAGGCTGCTACTTGATAGCGAAGGATTCGTTCAATCGAGCCGTATAATAAAAAAAAAACAATCTTATGGGTACGTCTTTTTCATGGTGTACGATTTTAGACTTTCAAAATGTTTATACACCCCGATTTTAGTTGTTGAACAATTATAAAACGATGTTATGATCCTGTGAAGATCAACAGAATCATCACAAACGAAAAAAAACCTCAAGACTCGTCCACAATTTAAATCAAAATGTAAGCATTAAGCGCTTTCAATTTTCTTCCTTTCTTGCGTATAGACAGAACGTGACATGCACCCGGCGCAGCCTCCCACCCCCCACTGACCCGTGTTGCCCATGAAGGCCGCCCTGTGGAGGGGGTTGGCCCCGTCCTTGAGGGTCGACCCTGCCAGCTTCCTCCTATCCAGCTGAGCCTGAACGTCTCTGAACTCCCCCTCCTCCGCAGCGCGGTGGGCGCTCTCTATCTTCTCCTGTGGGAAACACAAGTTGGCCCGTCGGACACCGCCTGGGAAACTGGGGATCCATCATGAACGGCGACGCAATGATATTCAATTTTTGTGCCTATGAAGCAATACAATGTTCACACTTCACTATTAAGCGTCCTCATTTTTTGGTATGCATTCCATAAGAAATGTGTACTTAATTATCATTTAAACGGTAGGTATAAACCTATGATAATGATGTAAACTTATGGAACAAATTTGCTTATGCCATTTTCAGCTGCAAGACAACTAATGCAGACAGCCAAGACTCAGGGGACACGACCTGTCAGCATGACTCACCATTATGAATGGCACTGAATCCAGCAGCTCCTGCACCTCCGGGTCGGTGGCTCGAGCTCCCTTCAACTCGTCAGTTCTACCGGTCAGCAGCAGGCGCTCAACTGTGTCCATATCCATGTCCTGTCCTCCCTCTCTGTCGTCTCCGCTTCGCGAGGGGGCACGGTCGGCCCCGCGGCTCGGGCTTCGACGCGGCGAATCGACGGCGTGTGAAGTGCGTCGTGATCGACGCGGAGATTCGGCGGCGTGTGAGGTGCGTCGGGAATGTTTCGGAGATTCGGCGGCGCGCGAGGTGCGTCGGGATTGTTTCGGCGAGTCGGAGCGCGACGGGCGCGGAGCCGCGCCCAGCTTCGCGCCCTTCTCCGGCGTGGGTGGCCGCGACTCGTCGGACGGGTTGGTCAGGTAGTAACTGGCCACGTTACCCCGCTGAAACGGAGACAGAGGACAGATTAATAAATGAAAATGGGTGATTCAAAACTTATATGTATTTTTTTGAGTTATCGTTGATGAAGCTCCAGGAGCGAAATATTCGATCAATTTAAATAGAGCTTTTTTGGCTCCTATTTCGGTTTTATATTATGAGGTTACTGGTTACTTTTACATTTATAATAGTAAAAATGGAGCTGATTTCCCAGCGCGACATTGATGTTTACCTTGCAAACTTTTAGGGGTGCTCTCCTCACACACTGAGTCTTGGTGAGATATTTTCATAAAGAGACGTTTTCAGAGCCCACAGGTGTCTAAATTACTCACACTGTCCTTGATGTTCTCGTTGGCTCCCTTCTGAATAAGGTAGTTGTAGTTTTTCTTGGCCTTCTTCGAGTCACTCGCCATGGCGGCGTAGTGATGAGGAGCTCTGGAATCCTGCATAAGAAAGAGAGGTAGGTCACGGCGTAAAATTTTCGAATAACAGTGAGAACACAACCATATGATTTTTAGACATGACACAACGAACGAATGAACCCTATTAAATAAGGCTTTGTCACCATGAAGTGTCACTATACTCTGTTCCGTTTCAAGCTTGAAGCCGAAATGCCCTGCTGAAAGCAGTGCGTGATTTCTGTATATACAGCTCTTACATTATAAGACGCAAATTCTTGAGCGGAGGAGCGATCTGCCGAAGAAACTCCGACTGCAAGCTTGATATGGAACAGACTATAAAAGTGAATAAAATATAATTTGACTACTCCTGCTCGCCAATATCCCGAAAGAAGCGGGTCAATTGATTGTTTACCAGCATTCTGCTCTAAAGCCGATTCCAAATAGCACTACCATTTGTAAAATCGGATCACATTTGCGCTGTCGCACATAAGCCCACCGTGCGCCAGACCTGTCCCCGCGGCACCCGGTTACCTTGTCGATGATGTGGATGCCCGCCGGGTACCTCTCTGTGAGGAACTGTATGGCCGGCGTGTGGCCGTACCAGGCGGCCAGGTGCAGCGGCAGGCGACCGTTCTCATCCAGTGACTGTACCAATTTAGTCGACTTGGAGTAGGGACCCTTGACGCGCGACAGCTCCTTGATTTCGGCCACGTCACCGCGCGCGGCGGCGCTGTGCATGGCCGCTATCTGCTCCTGAGAGGTGCGGCAGGCGGGTGTGAGAGCGCTGGGCAGGATGGCAGAGGTGGTGTAGAAAGAGGGTTAACAGAGATGAGAGGTAGGTTTATGGAAGATAGGGTTGGGGAAGTTGAGGGAGAGGACTAGTAGTGACATGCTTTTTTTAAATAAGATATTTTTGTTTTCATGTTTTTATCACTTGTGTTATCTGTGGCCTTCCTCCTAATCTCTTTCTTTCTAATTGTGTTGTATTTGGTAGGTATATTAGAACGTAGAGGCCAGACCACTGTCGTGCATTGTATTGGTACTGCCTGTATCACACGCGTATGCTGAGCCCAGTGCAGTACGACGGCAGGTAGGCTGCACCGCACTACACCCGCGTCCTCCGGAACAGCATGGTGGTTAACAGCGCGGCGGTATACCTACATAAGCGGCGGATAGTTGAACCGTTCAGTAATTACTTCGCTCCAGCTAGATAACATACTCGATGCATGTATTGTATATCAAAGGCCTGACTTGAGATAGCCCTGCCTGAGACATAAAGCTCTGTAATACGATACCTACCATGACACGCTGGCATAGCTTGAATAGCTAAGCTATGCTTTCGTGTAAAAACGACATACATTACCTCCGCCACACTGATCTATCTTTTATTTTCTTTCACATGATACTCATTTTTAAATAAATTGTAACAAATGTACACAAATATAGACATCAAGTTTTTAGTTAAATGCGAACGAGCCAGCAAAATATTTTTAAGTTACCTACAATGGACGATTGATTGATGCGGATATGGAGTCTAAGCACTCCGCATGCATAAACACCCGAATTATTTTTCCCATTTTCCCGGCAACCAATTATTTACATATCGTCCAAGTAGCGAGTATCTATACGCAGATTCTATGGCAGTGGTCTTTCTCATTAATTCACACATATATATAGAGTAGAGGCTGACGGACAGTATTTGAGCATGGATAGAAGTAGAACACGAACGACACAGGACATATTACACATGCCTATCTTGAAGCAAACAAACCGTGGAGTCCAAACTCGCTATCTTCGGCCTCCGAGGAGTATTCATCCGACACATCTTCCTTTTCACCATCAGTAGTTGCCTGGACAGCATCCCCATCTTGTGGTTCCTGATCCCCGAAAGACGATTCGCCAGCAACAGAAATCGGAAATTCGGAGTCCGATGCTAAGGAGTCCCGGTCAGAAGCAAGATTCTCACCATTGAGACCTGTAGCCATCGAACTATCCACGAGCGCTTCGTATGCAGGGAGGTTGATTTCTGGATCCAATGCGGATGCGCTTTCACGCGGCATTGGAGAAGAAGGAGAAGCAGGATCAGATGCGACATGCTGGTCGTTTGGGACATCTGGAACTTCGGCTTCTGACATAGGATCCTCGGAATCGCTTTGTTCATCTGATGAAGATACCTCTTCTGAAGTGTTTTCTTCATTTTCAGACAATGCTTCATCGTCATCATCAACAATTTGCTCGTCGTGGTACGCATCCTGTTTTATCAAAAACAACTGCCTATAATCGGTCAAAGATTGTTGGAATTCGGACACAATTTCTCTGACATCGGAAACTGGCATCTTTAGATTATCGGCTAAGCCAGTTATGCCAGAACTCAGAGTTCTGACCTCAGAGAGCAGAGCCTCAACCTCTGGGTCACTAAAAGTTACACCGCTATCTGGAGAGGATGGTCCTTTCACTGCAAGCTCAGCTGTCGCATTTTTATCATTGGAAGCGCTGACACTATCACTAGAACCGCTCTGATGACTGGCAGAAGCGGCAGCGACCACCGCTGTGGCGGACTCTGGTGCCGTTCCACCTCCTCGGATTCTGATGACGTCATCGGCGCTTTTGCCGGCCGTCAGTTGGGCGAACATCTGACTGATGGCGTCAGCTTGTGTGACGTCACACGTGATGTCCACAGCAGCAAGTATCTTCGCGGTATCTTCCTGCGATGGCTGGTGCAGCCAAACGGAGAAAGCTGCATCAATCTCAGTTTAAAAAAGAAGGCGTATGGTATCAACTTTATTGGCAATAACATCACCAGAATGACAAATAATATGGCAGACATTCCTGCACATTTATAGCATAACTATTCTAAGTGCTCTTCATCCATCTACAGAATACAACATGATTGGATAAAGTCTTTAAGAAAAACGTTCGATTTATTTTTGGACACTCATCAATAATTACACTGTTTGTGAGAATCTCAATTATTAGAGCATCAAGGTTAACATTCTGAAAGGATTACAGAAGGATATCACACAAGCAAAAGCGCTATTCAATGCCTTAGAAGACATTAAGGAAAATTTGAATGGGTTTGTGATAGGCATCAATAGTGTCAAACTCATCTGTCATCGATAACCAGATGCAAAACACTCCAGATACAAGCACTATAATGTATTATTGAACGTATCTAGTGGTAAAATTAGCATGCAATGCTAGCTGCTTTAAATAATATACATTTGTTATCTGTGCACCAGTGAGACATGCTTCGATAAGATGCACTTGATGCCTTTTTGACAGAAAATGAAGTCAGATAATTACACTGTTTTTTCCCATCTTCTAACCATCGTCCTTCCAGCATTTATACAATTCACGCATTTTTCGTATCCTCTCTCTCTCTCTCCCTCTCTCTCTCTCTCTCTCTTGCCCTCTCTCTTGCTCTCTCCCTCTCTATCTCTCACTCTTTCACTCTCTCTCTTTCTCCCTCCCTCATTCTCTCATCCCCTTTCTCTCGCTCTCCTTTTCCCATTCTCACCAACCTCTCTCCACCCTCCATCTTACCATATAAGTGGGCGCCACCTTCAGAATGTTGCGGGCCTGCTCGTTCCAGGCGGTCTTGCCCTCCAGAGCGTCTCCATGACCGTCGACCAGCACCTGTTCCAGCTTCTCCAGGTCACCCTGTCTGATCCAGACGTCTACCTGACCCGGCGTGACGTCTTGCTCCGACAGACGTGCCTGAGCGGCCGCCGCTGCGTCCGACGAGGCCTGGTCCTGCCCGGTCGGCCAGACTCACCGTTACATCCAGATTTATCCTCAGAGGGGCACGGAGATTTCCAGTAGCGAGACTTCTGTTTTTGGTGCTTTTGTATATTTATGTCGTGCCAAGCTCGATAATTTGGTTACATTTCGAAGGTGCGTATTTATACTGTGCCATTGTGCTCTCTGATGAATTTTGTATTTGCCTTGCATTCAAGTCTACGAATTAGGTACGATGCAACAGCAAGATAAGTCGATAATTGTGAGATTTATATAGGTAAAATAAAGTTATAGTTATTGATATTATTGCAGAAGGAGCATTTAAACGTGCATTATCAGGTCGAGCCAACATATCTAAATACGCAAAGAGGTCATTTGATGCTTCATTCTTGACAAGTCATTCCTCCATGTTTTAACATTTTTAGCAAGAGCGATTATCACCTACCACAAGCGATTTGTAACGGAATCAAAGACACCGATCACAACAAACTTAAAATGCATCTTATTCTGGCATTTTCGTTTGCAAAGTTATATTCAAACAAGTAATATTTTTATTATGCTATTTCGACTTTGGGAAATTTAGCATTGATGACGCTTTTTAACCCGGCAGTTGCTGGGGTATTTCGCCACCCACCGTTTGCTGGGGGGGGGGGGCGTTAAACGCCCCCAGCCGATAACTCGAGAACCAATAGGCGCAGCGAAACGCACGAGGCGGCAAACGAAAGAACGCAACGAGACGCTTCAGATGAGTACTTTGAAGTTGAATTTTGAGGTCACAGGTCGGGTCAAGGTCAGGTCAAACATCTGAAATCGGGCTTTCAGTAGCATGGACTTCAGGACGTCGCAATGGGCGGCTCTCGTCATAAACTCTATCAAAACGGTGCACAATCCATCATATAAGGCCTACAAGAGTGTCAGCTCCATGTAGTGGTCAGTCAAGCATAGGTCAGGGTCAAGGTCAGGTCAACCGGGTAGGCACATATCCCCGAAAATCAAAACTGATATTCGCAGCCTGTGACACATGTTTTATGAGTAATTTGGGGCGTAGAACACGATGGTGACATTCATTTTGTCATATGTGTACGTGTTTGGCTCAAAAAGTTCAATTTAAGAAATGCATGTATCATGGTCGTGAAGCATTCACGAAAAATTGCCAAGAATCAGTTCGAGATTTTGGAAAATGCGGATCGATAATCAATAATCGAAGATAGCCATTTGATTGTTCATGGTATTGTCAGTCTAATGGCGTTTACAGCATGTCTGTATGTCTATTCTGTGATTTTATATGATTTTTTGAAGATATGCCGTTTTTGGTCGAAAACTCAGAAATCATGACGTCACTAAAACCTTGATATCTCAAAAAATTTCCGACCGATTTTTTTGAAACTTTGTCACAATACACTTCAATCAATTCCCTACAGGTACCCAAAATTTGGCGCGCCGTTTTTATGCTATGGCCCGGCGAAAAGAGTGGGGGCGTTTAACGCCCCCCCCCCCCCAGCAACTCGCGGGTTAACCGTCAAATTGGTAACACGAGTGCAATAAATAACCATGCTACGCTATGAATACCAGTGAAATGTGGAAGATGAACCGCATCAAGTCACTCCTGCATTCCGTTGGCCATGCTGACACCCGAAATAATTACATCCTCATTCCTCGACCCTCCCATCTCCCTCAGTAGGAATACACACGAACACTCACCGTCTCTCGGCGACTAGTGGACCGTTTGCCCTTCGCCGCCTGTCCTCCGTCACCTCCCTGGTGTCGGTCGGTGCTGACCGACCTCCTCCTGTTCGGTCCATCGGGAACACCCAGGGAGTCGCCAGAGTTCCTCGGTGCGTCCGGTAGCTGGTAGACGTGCTGCATCGGCATCTCCTTCGGGTGCTCGCGGTAGTGCTCGGCTGTCTTCTTACGCTGGAAACAGGGACGGCCTGGTGTTCAGGGCTGGGAGTGACGGCGAGAAAGCTGAAAACTATAACTGCAGTACGTTTTTGCGAAGCTACAGCGCTAAGTGTAATGAAAAAAATGACTTACTCGTGCATATTCAAATTATATTTATTCGATGGTAAATTTAACTATTCTCCTACAATATAGAATGTAAAAAAAAAAAAACATCCTGAAGGTTTAGCTGAAGGAAAGTTGTTGCTATTTTCCTTTTGAACATATTCCAGCCACTCTAAAAAGTAACCAATTCATAGCTATGACCAAGCTTGACACTTGACACAACTTGGCATGTGCAATAAGTTTCCTGCATTGACCATGCCCCATACTACACTGACCTTATCGACCCGGTTGACATCAGCGCCGGCCTTGACCAGCAGGTCGTAGATCTCCTTGTTCTGGCTGGCGGCCGCATAGAAGAGCGGTGTGTAGCCGTCGTTGTCTGGCTCGTCCTTCTGATCTCGGACGGTGCCCAAGGATGTTTCGACGATCGTCCGGTGGCCAAGAGTCGCCGCCTGTCGAACACGGAGGGGGAGATTGTGAACACGTGGGCAATTATTCGCCTTCCTTGAATGAGCCGAGAGAGCCAATTATTTAGAGGATTTAGTGATACAATATTTATTGTCGACAGAACAGTTAATAGAACTATTTCTTTCCATGTTGTGATAGTTATTATTTTGCACAGTTCATCAACTCCTGGAGTTTTGACGTTTGTTGACGACGACGATAGCACGATAAAGGCAAGAACATTTCAGGCAATTTGAGTGTAAAATGTTCCATAAATGGTAGCAAAAATGGATCATCATTCAAATAAAAAAAAAATGATAAAGGATGTGTCAGGTGAAGCGTAGGCACTCATCAAACATGCTCTATAGCAAGAACTACCACACAGTGCACTCAAACTCTGGCTCTAATGTCTTAGCCGCACTCACAGCTTCTCGTGGTGCCATGACTTCAAGCAGATTTTCTACAATCTCCTCGTGTCCCAGGCCGGCAGCCTGTAAAAGTATCATGCCATTCACGAGCGGTTTAAGGTCTGGTCGATGAGATTTTACTCACAAGCATTCAGCGGAACTTAACGTCCAGCAGTCACGTCCGTCACGAGCGAAATTTAGAGCGGTGGACAAAGACCATGCTGCTGTTGGTGTCCATCGGGTATGGTTGGTTATTGGATCCAAGGCCATTGGATCCAGGAATAAGCCAGGCTGGATTCATGTCAGTATTGAGGAATTTGAGATGCGGTACATGCGTTTGCTGAGGCTGTTTGCTTATAATGGACTCAAGTAGTGTCGTTAATTAATCGGCAGGCCTTGCCTATGTATAACTATGTTTAATGTTTGATTGTCAAATGATTTGAAGTGAATATTGCAATTGCAGTGAATGAATTCATGCACGAACAAGCTGCGAGCATGATATAAGTGTAATGCATTGATACCTTATTTTATACACTGAAAACAATTTAACCTAAGGCTGGCGAGTAAACCGGTGTTTTACGGGTACCCCTATCCGCAACCATTTTTAACCACCCTCCCAGGAGTAGTGCTAGGTCCCATTGCGGTGTAGTCGTACTTGCTCTGAGCGGATATAACCGCTGTCAGCGAACAAGTCCGCTGAGAGCAGGGACGAATACACTGCAATGGGACCTTACTGTACTCCTGGGAGGGTGGTTAAAAATGGTTGCGGATAAGGGGTACCTGCAAAACACCGGTTTACTCGCGGGCCTTGGGTTAAATTGTTTTCAGTGTAGCACATTCATCAACTCAAGTCTCAAATGCATAATCATACCATCGAGACCGATCCTCTCAGCCGTTGCTGGCTCGCACAATTGCCCATGCAACTTACCTTGTGAAGGATGGTGAGTCCGTTCTGGTCCTTGGAGGTCAGCAGACGTGACTGGCCTTCAGTCATGGCCTCGACCTTGGCCGAGTCACCGTTTATCGCCGCAGAGTGCAGCTCACGGATCCGAATCTGAAACGCAGACGTGCGAGGAAACTGTAATAATCCAGATACAGGTGCGTTACGAGACGATAAATGTAAAAAAGCATGTTTTTTAATTTCCCAATTAGCGCTTACATAATTTCAAATGATAAACTGCATTTTGACTGTAGTTGAACGTACGCACTATTACCGAAGTCTGTGATCTCGCTCGGTACACAATGTATGATTGACACTCTCCTTTTCTTCCCTTCCTACCCCTCCCCCACCCACACAACTTGACGCCTCCACTCTCTCTCCTTCCTCTTTATCCCCCCCCCCCCCACCCCACCCACCATGAGCGGTCGGACCGAAGTGAGGAACTTGTTGACCCGGTTCGATCCGGCTGTTTCGTTCAGCAGACGCTCGCCATGTCCGTCCAGCACCATCTGCTCCAGCTTGTTCAGATCCCGGCCGTGGATCCAGATCCGGATCGTGGCGTGGGACACGGGTCCAGATCCAGAACCACCAGCTACAGCGAGACGGATGTCAGTATTGGCTTATGCGGCGTTGAGTTCGAATGAATTTCAAGTTTCATGACCGCTAATCGTACCACTGCATGAAATGTCATCAGGTAGCAGTTCTACGAAATGAGATGCGCCAATAAGGTTCAAGTTCTTTTCCACTATAATATTGCGCACTGTTGTGAACCATTTGTAAGTAGGAAGGTACTCAAGGCAGAGTGAAAATCGATATCATGTTCGCATTAAAATTGCAGCGCTCTACGCTACGTTAACGTTATACCAAATCGATAAAGTCGCCATGACATTTCAGTAACAGGGTCGCCGCGTGTCCCAATTTGTCCGCACGCAGTGGCGCGTGCCACGAGCATGACGCGACCAGCGAAACAGGGAAAGGTAATGAGCGAAAGACATCGACCCAGATTTTGGAGATATCGTAATGGTCGTGCTACTTTGATATGCGAAAAATAAAGTCTGGTCGATACGTCAGCAAAAGCTACAGCAGGCCTAAGTGTTTGCATTCAAGATAATGCCGCAACTTATATGTCATCTCTAGTAAAAAATACGCCACGCATTATCACTGGCAAGGTGGCAGGGAGCTGCCTATCTTTTCATTGATAATGAGTCTGGACTTACCACCCCCATTAGAAGCAGCTGCACCATTGTCTCGAGGTTTTCGCCCTCGTACATGGTCTTTAGGCGGCGTCCTCCTCTGTCGCTGCCGATTCCTGCTGGTCGGCTCAGCCTTGGTGGGCAGAGCCAAGTCATCCGGATGATCCAGATAGTACTGGGCTGGCCTGCCACGCTTGTCACGAGTCTTTTCGTCCGCGCCGGCCCGCACTAGTGCGTCGTAGGTGCCTCGAGGGTCGGAGGAGGCGGCACTGAGGTGGAGGGCCGTCCGACCGTCCTGCAGGTCAGGGGTCAGGTCAGGGGTCTGGTCAGGGGTCAGGTCAGGGTCGGGTCAAGGGTCGAGTCAGAAGTCAGGTCAGGGTTCGGGTCAGGGGTCAGATCAGGGGTCTGGTCAAGGGTCGGATCAGGGGTCAGGTCAGACGTCAGGTCAGGGTGAGCGTGTCAGGAGTCAGATCAGGTATCGAGTGATAGGTGAGGTCACAGTTTAGGTGACATGTGTGATCAAGTGAGAGGTCAGGTCACTGCACAGGTCAGGCTTCAGACTAGATTACATGACAGTGAAGATACAAATAGATGTGGAATCGTGGAGTGGACATATGGACCATATGGAACATACATTATGTAGGAGTTGCTAGCATTTTTGTTGTTGTTATCCAAAACTGTAGCATCAGTGACAACACTTCATCACTTTATGTTATCGGAAAAGGCAAATTCAGAATCCGAAGTCGCATAGTCATTAGCTTGACATCCATCCATCCGAAACGCCTCATTTGTGCAATTAACGACGGTTTAACTGCCGTTTTCAGTTACGGCCCAGGTTTTCCGATCATCACCATCGCTATCGCTAGCCATTACTAATCGCCACCAGGGCGATAGTTATGTGGGCCGGGTCCATAAGCACGCTAGCCGACGATCCAAGGTCAACGAGGCTAAATCGTTAGGGCCATTTTCGCCCGCTATTGGGTATCCCTGCAAGCGATTATCCACATGGACGTGAAAACGGGTTGCTGGAAAGGCTGATTGTGTTTGTGTCTCCATTATGTGTATTGCTGTTGCCCTACTGTTTACAACATTGCAGCGGTGTTTGAGGAATTTCTTGATAATCGTTTTAGCTCAGTGTGTTTTACCTTACTGACACGGGTTTAGTGTAGAATAAGCACAAGCGTGTTTAGTGCGTGCTTTGGTGAGTGCTCCTACAAAATTTAACTCTTGTGGGGATGAGTTTTTATTTTATTTTAGTAACACTCTCTCAGTTTGATGAAACGACCGATTCACGACTTTCCTTTAAAGGCAGCTCCCGCACACAACTTCTGATCATCCTGCGAAAACTATCATTGAAAAACGTAAAACATTGAAAACGTAAAGCTACTTAAGGTAACATAAAACAATCCCACTTTGCCAATATTGGGTTACAGACCGGTACTGCTCTCCATGCGTTGGATATGCATTGCTTTTGTACGGGTCACTGACCACGGATCAATAGGGTCTCTTCGTGGAATCCGCTGACTGCTGGAGGGTCGGGCCAGTACTGCACGTGAGCACGAGCCATGGGAAAACAGCCCTCGACTCTGCTGTGCTGTGTATAAATGCGTTTGAAAAGCATTATTCTATTTTTCTATAATTCAATATTTTTCGGCAAATATTTCAAATGCCCGAACTGAAAAGGATAAGAAGAAGAAATATTCAAGCAACAGCAACTTTCGTTGAAAATTTGACTTATTCTTAAATGTTTTTATTAAACTAACCGTAATGCATTTTTCTCAAAACACCTATCTTATTCATTCATGGCTATTGGTAACGATATGTTTCAATTACAATCTAGTTTTCTTTTTAGCCCGGCCGGGCCCGGGGGTAATCCCAACCACCGCAGCCCGGGGGGGCATTTTTCGCCCCCCCCCCCTGTCTAACTCCGTAAATAAGGGAGCTACGGAAACAAAAGCGATACCAAACGAAAGGTCCTTACGAGACGATTCTAATGCACCTAAAATTTTTGACCTCAGGTCAATTTTCAAGGTCAGAGGTCAAGGTCAAAGGCAAAAACCGCCACATGTGTAGTGATTTCAAAGTAAGCCTTCTAGAGGACGGCAGGCTGCATCAAACCGGCAAAATTGGCTGTCAAACGAAAGAAGAGAATCTGAGGATTCTGAAAATGTGCTCAAAGTGAAAGGTCAAGGTCAAGGTCACGCTCAAAATTGACCTCAAACTTGGCACTTTTCGCATATTTTGCGTGCTAACTTCCAAGATGTTTTGAAATGTTTTGAGGCTTATCAGTTCCCTATTTGTGGTTCATCCTACGATACAAGGTTGCTCAAAGGTCAAGGTCACAGAAGAGTATCCCTGCTAGAGGCTATTTCACTGATTCAAGTTAGTAATAATAAATAAGACAATTTTGCAATCCGGAAGCTCTAAATGAAGGCTTAGAGGAAAATAGATGCCAGATTCGTGATCAGCGGATACAAATCCATCATATACGACCTTTCATGTGTCAAGGTCAACCAGTGGTCATTCGAGGTCACTTGAGGTCAACATAAAATTTGACCTTTTCCAAACAAAATATATATCATTCGACGCGGCCTGACAAGGCGAATGCGATGGTACCACTGCCGTAGCTCTAGGACCATTTTTGTCGAAGTTATTTGCGAAAAACTAAAACCACATTTCGGGGTCGTTGACCTGACCTCTGACCTCAGGTCACTAAAACTGTTTTCCTATTTTTCTCTAGGTCAAACGCAACGCAACCGTGCTCGTAATTTGTCTTTATCTCTAAAACTCTATTTTTAGCAGCTATTTGAAGTTTGCGTCTGTGACGCCGAAGTTTGCCGTGCAGGGGTCTAGAAAAATGGACCTTGTGACGTTATCAAGGGGGCTAGGTCCAAATTTTTTACTTCAGAAGATGTCAAATTGATGGGAAAAAAGGTCCTGAAAGTTTCTCCTTCCTATCCCTAAGCGTTCGGGAGCTATCGCAAATATTCGCCAGGGGGGGGGGGGGCGAAAAACGCCCCCCGGGCCCGCGAGGGTTAAATAAAAGGCACAACTCAGTGCTCATCTAAGTCACATAACAAACTGCAATTCTATTGACGAATTTCGTCACAATAAGCTTTTGAAATGCGACAATTAACCGTTGTTTTATCCTTACATGTCTGTGTTTTGCACCCACTTATCGCAAAATGAATCGGTAGACGTTATCTGGCTTTACGTAGAACGACGCCGCAAGCTGCACGAAAACACGTTGCAGCATTTGTGAAGTCCTTGGTACCTATTGATGGCGGAAACATTTTGCAGAGTTTCCGTAAATGCGATATCATATTCGAATGAATCGCTCATTCTACACCCTGCTGCAGCCCTAATGTAGAATTAATGTTTCATATGACCTCAAACACTATGTCCCTTTAAATATCATTGAAGGCTGGTCCTAGTCGCTATTTCTGTTGCTGCTGACATAAAGCCTGCAGAGCGTCTACAATCTACAGCCATTTGATGTGAAAAAGGTGAAAACTATACAGATATACTTGGTAAAATGAATAAGTTTTCGATCCAAGCTGCTTATCGTAATTTCTGATGGCTTTATAGAGAAAAGAAAAAAATGTGCGACGCTATTCTGCACCATAGCATAGGTGCAATATCGGCCTCGATAATATAACGCCTGCCCTTGAAGCCAGAACGGACGACAATTGTCCGTCCGTCTGGAAACTTGTCGGTTCTTATAGCGGTGCGGCGGCGAGCGCCGGGTGCGCATTGTTCACTGTTGAATGGTTTCCATGGCAGCCGGCCAAAGTGTGTCGCCCGCCCGGTGTCGTCGAGCCTGACGGTGTCGACGCGTGACGTTCCGTCGGTGCCGATGGCGTCGTCAGGTAAACACGTGCGTTCGTTGACCGGTATCCACCCCCATGCCGAACGATATAGGGTAGGACGGGGGCAGGGCAAAAATGACGTGAAGCGATGCGAAAGCGATGAATCGCACTCCTGGTTGTGTTTTGCGCAAAACGTAAGATTGAATAGAAAAAATATATAACAGATTTATCAGCGTAGGTGTGTATTTTATGGGCTAAGCCTTTGTATCATTTATGTTTGATGTTGAGTGATTTTCTCAGTTGAATAGTGCAAGCAGAGTAGGTAAGTACGGTGTTTATTGTCAATAATCACAGGCTTTACCTTATATGCCCAATATAAGCAGGTAGTTATTATCAAAACTGAACTTTTTAATATACACAGCTATAGAATAAGACACAAAGCGCACACATACACACATACCCACTAAGGCACTGGACAGACATATGCAAGTATAGTAAGCAAGCGGATAGTCTAAAACATCACACGGCTTAAGCCTCTTACGATATACAATTCTCAACAGGGAATACAAGCATCTACGATAAAGTATGAAACTCAAAAGAAAACGATGAACAGCTTATTTATAAACGCAATTCACATGCATTATTTTGTACACCTTACTAGCCTGTACAATCGATTAACCCTCGCACGACCAGGCCATTTCTCATAACACGAACGACCAGGGGGGGGGTTGTTACGACCCCCCCCCTGGCGTTTCGAAACGGAAGGTCGTAGAGCTTAGCGGAAAAGACCAACGGATTGCTCTCGCCGAGATCTCGCGATTGGTGGTATATTTTTTGGTCCTAGGTCAACATTTGACCTACTTTTGACCGGTCAAAGGTCAAATTTTCGGAAAAATAGACTTTTTTCAACTTTCGGCGGCGATTGCGGCAAAACGGTGGGAGATATCGACTTGAAACCTTCACTATCGTGTTCCTTGATCAATTCTCTATCGTTTGGTATGTATTTCGTTTCCCTAGCTCTAAAAATGGCGCGTTGGGAGCGCCGGAAGTCGGCAAGGTCACAGTCGGCGGCAGAAATTCGAAAAATCAAAATTTAAATTTTTGAAATCTGATTGTATTTTTGGATTTGGGAGGTCCATTTGCTCCCTGTAGAAGCTAATATTGCTGCATATTCCCATTGAGGTGACAAGAATTAGCAAAATAGTGGTTCGGGCGCTTTTCAAAAATAGTACCGGACGCTGTTCCTCTTGTGACGTCATAGCTCCGTGACCTGACCTGACCCGGTCAAATTTCTTATACCATATGATAGCCAATACTTGCCCCAACATGCATGGGAAGTTTCATCACGATCCATCAACCGATGTCTGTACCACCGGCAGGAAACCTCGGGCATTGGCACTCAGTTTGTGAAAATCCGGCCGGAGGCTGTACCTCTTATGACGTCATAACTCCGTGACCTGACATGACCCGATCAATTTTTTTTTCGGCAAAAGATGCGCAAAGGTTGCCCCATAAGGTACCCAAAATTTGGCGGCGCTGCGCGCCGCCGTTTTTGCACTATTTCCGAAAAACCTCAGGGGGGGGGGTTGATACAACCCCCCCCCTAGGCGTTCTAGGGTTAAAGGGACTATCCCACCTTCTAAAATGTTGTTAAAACCAGTTAGATTGTGCCCGACTTTATAGATTGGATGACCAGGAACACGGTTCTGGCATTTATTTTTCATTAAACATCTTAGGCTTCCCATATTCCAAACACAAACTTTCAAATATGTGACGTCACAGCCCAAAATTACCTCCTTCCCCAGGCCACATTACTGTCATAAAGCTGATTCTTTTTACTCTGTAGGCACCACAACAAAGTTCAGACCAAGTTTTAAGCGATTTTTCAACGAACAAACCCATTTAAATCAGAATGACTAAACGAGGTGACGTCACACTAACGGTCGCTCCATGTTGAAGATAGGGCCTTGTACAAGGCCCATTTTCAAATGAAGGGAACGAATTTCTTCAACACCAAGAGGCCGCGGGGGTTGCAACCTAGATAGATAGTGGTTTCTGAACCTCGCCGCAAACTTGGCTATCTCAACTCAAACCCCATGTTAAAGGTGGGATAGTCCCTTTAAGTGTCTTGCTAAAGCATACCCTGTGTTAACGAGTAAACGATGTCCTCGTGTAAGCTAACTCGACGCTTCTTTTAGAAAAAGCCTATAGAGTCTATTTTTCACCAACAGCGAGCAAAAATAAGCATTTAAGCAAGCATTTGGTGGTAATGAATGTCTCGGAATAAATAGAGATGCAAGCAAGCAATCGGCTAATCAGCAATACAAAGATCACATACTTTCACACTTGCCTGCATGTGTCTTTTAATGCACGACCTCATAAAGCTTTCATCGAGGGACTCCATGTAACATCTAGCTGCCCTAGCATTGGTATCAATGTGCAATAATATTTGCTCACTTATTTGAAAATAATCTTTCCTCAGGTTCGTCTGTATGGAAATATACAGGTATATCGGACGGAGTTTGCAAATATGTATCGATAAATGCTGTCTCAACCTCGACGGACCATAACGAGCTCAGTTTAGAATAGGACATCTATCAATATAACTATTCGGATTTGAGATTCTAAACAAATCCAAATATGTTATGTGTCCTAAATGAGGTTTTCTCAGTTCCACACCTTCGTGTAAGCTCTTATGACGCAATGGCTGTTCCATAAATATATAATATGCATTGAAAGGCGGTCCAACTGACCGGCTGTTTGTGGATAACATGCGCCGTTGGCGCCATTCTCCAAGCGCTGACGTCTTATAGGCGCATTCACTTTCGCTTGTTTACTTCTTCTGCTCGACCGGCACAATGTTCCCCATGTTACTGAGAAAGATATGTTTGACCGCCTCGGCGTGTTCGTATCGGTTGTAGGCGACCAGCTGCGCCCTGTCCAGCACCCTCTCCACCAGCCTCCTGGCGAGCTCGTCCGTCAGCTCGTCCTGCAGGATCTCGGCCGACTCCTCGTCCACCACTTCGGACAGCAGAGAGGCCACCAGCTGGGCAGACTGCGCCGGCCCCACGGCCGAGGCGTGCGCCAGCGCCCGCCACTCGTCCGCCCTGGCCGCTGTCTTGGACGGCAGCTCGGCGTCCTTCGGCAGGCCCTCGAAGGCCACTGTGAGTGGAGGTGGCCGGCGCAGAGTGACGTGGCGCTCCTCGCCGCCCGGCCCGGAGACGGGCACAGACTCCAGCTGGTCCTGCGGCACCGGCTCCCGGTGCCAGAGCCGCAGAGCCGCGTGGATGCCGGCCCACTTGGACTTGGAGGCTGGGGTCTTCTCAGCGTTCACAACTTCAGGAGCGTCGTCACTCATTCTGACTTTCTTCTTTGGCTTCTTTTTCTTTTTCTTTTCTTTACTGTTCTCATTTTCATTCTTCGAAGCGTCACCTTTTTTGCCCTTGCTTGTGGGTACCCGTTTTGCGGTTCCTTTTCTCTTCTCCTTCTTCCCTCCCTCTTCTTTCTTGTCTTTGTCTGCCTTCTCTTCTCCCGCCTTCTCCTCCTCTCCCGGCATTTTCACCCAGTGTGATACCACCTTCGGACGAGCATTATGACCGGGCTGCTTGTGCACCGCCGGTGTCTGAGGTGTAATCGTCCCCGTGGCACCCTCTCCTCCAACCGCACCATCAGGACCACCCTCAGCATTGGCAGCAGCGACGGCTGCGGCAGCAGCTTCCACGCCGGCGGCCGCCACGCTGCTGCGTCGTTTCTGCATGCGCAGCAGGTGTCTCTGGTAGGCGGCCATCTGCCTCTCGGGCCGCCGGCTGCGACGCAGAGTGACCACAGCCGTCTCCTGTCGGCGGACGAACGCACTGTCAGCGGTCGTCACGTCGAAATCGACGACCCGACGACGGCTGTGGCGCTCGGCGTCGCGGCCGGCTCCCTGCCGACAGACGTCGGGAGCGACGCAAGGCCGGAATGGCCGGTGATGAGTGGGGTGGGGCTCATTCTCTGTTTGTTTAGGGTGAATCGATGGCTTAGTCTGCACCCCGTGCGTTTGACTTCCAGAATATGTTATGCCGTGGTGATTTCAAGTGTTCAACATGGTGTTTGGGTCTTATCATGCACGCACCGCGCGATAGCTGACATTGCCAGGAAGATGTTCCCAATGTCATCGTGTCATGTCTGTAGAGATAATCGTCTTAGACCTTATGGAACATGTTTCCTTTGATCAAGTATGTAATGTCGCTTTCAGAGACTGTGGCGCTTTATGATCATGATTGCCATGTTAACCAGTAATTGGCTTACCGAGAACGAGGCATTGACCCCCAAGTGTTTCGAGAAGCTGGCCTTTCAATTTGATAAGCCCCTTGCACCCATCATGTTGTAAGCATTAAATGTATGTTGGCTATGTTACACCCCTGCGAACGGTTTAATACATGCTCGATTCACAAACACTCATATTATTTCATGCATTTATCACAAAACGCAATGTTTAGATTTACAGGTCAAAAAGTTTGGCAACGCTCACGTTGCCTCACACATAAGTCACACACAACTAGTTCTGTTTACTTACGGCGTCCGTGAGGTTGAGGATCTCCGGGTAGTTGGAGGCGAGGTACTCGGCGACCTCTGTTCGTCCGTTCATCACAGCTTTATGCAGCAGGCTGACACCGTTCTTGTCTCGCGACATGGCGTATTTGCGGCGGTCCAGCAGGTTCTTGGTCTGACGCAGGTCACCCTCCTCCACCACCTTGTGAATGGCGTCCATCTTGGACTGGAGAGAGAGAGAGAGAGAGAGAGAGAGAGAGAGAGAGAGAGAGAGAGAGAGAGAGAGAGAGAGAGAGAGAGAGAGAGAGAGAGAGAGAGAGAGAGAGAGAGAGAGAGAGAGAGAGAGAGAGAGACAGAGAGACAGAGAGAGAGAGAGAAAGAGAGAGAGAGAGAGAGAGAGAGAGAAAGAGGGAGAGAGTCAGTTGGGTCAGATGAGTGACCCGGAGAGATGTGGTAGAATATGATAGGCACTAAAATGATAGAAAGAACGGTAACAATTTCGTCCAACTAATTTGTTAAGTTCTTATTCTTATGCTTCTTAAATATTCCATAAAATTGTTTTTGCACATCCCAGTTCACCCAGAGAGCGCCACTGGCTGTAAATATATTATTTCGAGCATTGGATCATTCAGCGCATTTCTGTGTGCTCTAGTCGAGGGTCCCACAAGGTTAGATATGATGGAAAACGTTATTGTTTTTATAGTTTTGTTTTTCTCTGATTGTTTTCAAGGTGAAAGTGAAGTGAAACTGAAAGGATCACGCAGTTCTTCGATCGATACGACTGGAGATTTTGCGTCACGCAACTGGTCGTATTTTGAAGTCACAACAGTCATTTTGTAACCGAGCTATTTGTTTTGTACGACCTTGGATGACCTTATTTTGGTCATACCATGCGCCTACTTGCCATCACACTCAATATTCCTGATAATATCGCGGCAAACATGTCAAACAGATTATATTTTATGCACGCAGCCACGGCTTCGCCACACCTCCTCGCCATCATAATCCATCAGCTCCGCTAATGAGGATTTCGTCAGTCCCCAGAAGGCGACCTTTTCAGAGTCAGTGTGGACACTACTCGGCCCGTGTGGACATGTTTGCCTGTCCCCGGCGCCGGACCGACCTCGTGGGTGCCTGCACGCAACAAGGACGGTATCGGGGAGCTCGCGTGAGCCCCGCCGCTCAGCCCGTCACGAACGGAGCTCGCCGACAAAAGCGATGACAATGGCCGCTTGGTATTATTGCAGGGAGCTATGAGAGGCTCCAAGCATTTGTCTGAATAGAGAGGATTGTAGATCGATTACGTTCTAGTAATCGATCTGGTAAGTACAAGTTTTTCAATGAAGTTCTATGATAGTTTCCTACTCTCCTAAACATCAAATACTTCATGTATGTCAAGATCGACAACATTTTCTTAATAATTTCTAGCCCAAAGCATTTAAAAGAAAATGCCGGTGCAATTTCAAGCGCTGAGATTAGTTATTTCAAGCATCAAGAAATCGGTTTAGCCTAAGGTAAACTTGCATCATATTCACACGTTTGCCTGCGTTATTACGTCTAATCAAGTTTTTTTTAGTATCTGAATAGCCAAATGCAATCGACCCGACACATTAAAAAGACGCCCTATGTAATCAACGCGATATTTCCATACTCCACAGCTCACGCATGCTTTTAAATTTCAATACACACTAATGAATTCAAACGATGATAACTCACAATTCTGTCGGGCACCGATCGAAGGAACGCCCTGGTCTTGTCGTCTGCCGACGACTCCTTGAGCAGCTTCTGACCCTGTCCGTCGATAATGACGTCCTCCAGCTTCTCCAGGTCCCCTGCCTTCAGCCACTGGCGGATGTTGGAGGAGTTCATCGGCAGCACTGGAAAACGGAGACGAGGAGCTTGAGATGGATGTCAGATAATGTGTTCACTCAGCAGTACTAAGGTTGGTGCGTAAATATGACACCGTTTGTTAATTGTTGCTTTGTTGGTTGGTTGGTTGGTTGGTTGCTTGTTCCGTTTCAACGGCGTTTTCGGTGCAATAAGTACCCAGTCGTCCCGTGAGCAGTCATAAGTGCATTACATAAACATAACCATAATTCATAAACATAGAAATAAACATAGCGCTTGCTGGAGCTCGGCAATATTCAATTAGCAGTACTTGATCGAGCCTAATAATATTGAACGCGCTTTCCAGTCCCTAGCCCACAATCCCACTTTCCTGCCGTTGACTGTGCCCTGTGTGTTTTCCTTTCTTAGCATTCTGCTGCTGGAAGATCGCAAGACTTATGTTTCCGTGGTTAGTTTTGGTAGGCCTGCATGTCAATAACATGACATTATGGTGCACATGTTTGACAGTTTGACATGTTTGTCAGTTCGCACTATAGAATTTTTGTTGATGTTCGATATGCATGGTTGAACCACATTACCGTTCGGTGCGCAAACAATAATTTAGGCATGAGATCAATGAGCACGCATATTGCATTTCAAATTTCCTGAATGGGTCGTCTCCATGCAGATGGTGTTTTTAGCAGTTTGCATCGACTTATAGGTTCATCAAACATTTGGACCTCGCCAGGCAAGCGACAAAAAAAAAACACATGTCACTGTATTTCATATTTTTAAACATTTTATTTTGATTTTCGTGAAATAGCATTTGTAGGTATATCCATGGATGAGATAATAATATGAGATAATAATGAGATGTGTTATATCATCCATGGTATATCATCCAACCATACAATGATATTTTAATCGCATTTATTGCAAAATGTCGTCTACGACCTCAAAACAAGAAAAGAAAAGAAAACACTCGTATTCAGAGGCCCTTTATTTCATCCGTGGCTGAAGTCATTTAGCTCTTATAATTATCTCAGTCTGTGATGCTTTATGCTCATCTTTACCACCTAATATCGACGGCATAGTCAAACTATGATATTGATATAAGGTTAGCTACAAGATTGGATTCTGCCGAGTGTCTGCAAATGTGGACACAGAAAGATGGCATTGGACGCTGCGGGGGTAGAGGGGGGGGGGGGGGCTAGCCCCGAAAAATTAATTTTCTCGAAATTACAAAAAGATTCCTTGGGTTTCGATTTTTTATGCGCTGTCGTGCAGTTTAAAGCAAATGCAGTTTAGTTTTATTTCTATTCTATAAAAAACAGCAAAATTTCATCGATTTCAGGCTCTGTGAAAGAGGCATTTGACCCCCCCCCCCCCCGGATCCGCCACTAGGTCTATGCTGCTCGAATAAGTTGTGATCTCAAGTGTCTTAACCCTAGAACGCCTAGGGGGGGGGGGGTTGTATCAACCCCCCCTGAGGTTTTTTCGAAGTGCACGCTAAACGGCTTGTCGTAGCGGGCTGAAATTTTCAATACCCTCTGGGGCAGCCTTTGCGCATCTTTTGCCGAAAAAAAAGATCGGGTCATGTCAGGTCACGGAGTTATGACGTCATAAGAGGTACAGCCTCCGGCCGACAGTTACCAAACGTGTGCGCCGAATCCCTAGGTTTTCTGCCGGTGATACCCACATTGTTTGATGGATCATGATGAAACTTCCCATGCATGTTGGGGCAAGCATTGGCTATCGTGTGGTGCAAGAAAATTGACCGGGTCAGGTCAGGTCACAGAGCTATGACGTCACAAGAGGAACAGCGTCCGGTACTATTTTTGAAAAGCGCCCGAACCACTATTTTGCTAATTCTTGTCACCTCAATGGGAATATGCAGCAATATTAGCTTCTATAGGGAGCAAATGGACCTCCCAAATCCAAAAATACAATCAGATTTCAAAAATTTAAATTTTGATTTTTCGAATTTCTGCCGCCGACTGTGACCTTGCCGACTTCCGGCGCTCCCAACGCGCCATTTTTAGAGCTAGGGAAACGAAATACATACCAAACGATAGAGAATTGATCATGGAACACGATAGCGAAGGTTTCAAGTCGATATCTCCCACCGTTTTGCCGCAATCGCCGCGGAAAGTTGAAAAAGTTCGATTTTTCGGAAAATTTGACCTTTGACCGGTCATAAGTAGGTCAAATGTTGACCTATGACCAAAAAATATACCACCAATCGCGAGATCTCGTTGAGAGCAATCCGTTGAATTTTTCCGCTAAGCTCTACGACCTTCCGTTTCGAAACGCCAGGGGGGGTCGTAACAACCCCCCCCCCCCTGGTCGTTCGTGTTATGAGAAATGGCCTGGTCGTGCGAGGGTTAACGTTAACCTGGTAGTGTTAACCTGGTGGACAGTTAACATGATAGTGTCAACACCATATATACATAGTAGCAAGACCATTGTCTTATCTGTTTATAGACAGTCGTCTTGATTCGTACGGTTAGAACAAAGGGCACTTCTTGAATCAGTTCAGTAGACATCAAGATCGGAATGAACTCCATCTCCAGCTTTTGAGTACGAAAAGACGAGACGGTCCGTTATACTCTCGAGCTTTCTAAGAATAATACACTGAGACAAGACATAGACATGCTTGCCTGTGCTGGTATGACTTATGTGTTGACCAACCAAGCAACAAGCGCCCAGAAAGTAAACCTATGTCAGATACCAGAGTTTTGTGTTTTCATGTGAAGTGCACTCTAGCTACACTGAAGTCACACTGACAGTAGGAACTGGCTGATCAAGTCTTTCAATTTAAATGCAGGTATTGTTTTCTAATTATACGACACAAAATATTTTCGCAAAGCGGAAAAAGCTAGGCCCGGCAGCAAGCCGTCAGTCGTACTGTACCATTTAAAATACACTTACCAATTCACCGAGGAACATGGTTTACTACATCAAAATCATAGTCACAAACGCGCTGATAAATTTCATTCCACAAAGTAATTAGGCGACTCACCTTTGGGCGGACTGGAGTGTGTGTAGAGGTTTCCTCCGCTGCTGCCGCTGCTTGTGTTACTGCCCTTGCCCTTGCCCTTGGTGCGGGGGCTCTGATTCTGAGAGGGCCGGCGAGTCGCCTTCGTGATCGCCATGACTGGGATACTGTATGCGAATTATCTAAAAAGATATATCGTCCACCTGCTACAACAGTCTTGAGTATGCAATATGTTTTATTAACGATCACTCACCAACTAGATTTTCAGACTTTACAACGTTCAGTGCAAACTAAGCCTTCCTACCAGTCCCTAAAGGTATATGCACTGTTGAATGTCACGACTCCTAACTCCCACTGTTCTGCAGAGCCCCAGTATAGCTACCTGGGCGCGAGCCGAACCCCCGCTAACGACTGACCGGCCGCCGGCCGCCGGACCGGACCAATCCATAGGGGGGTGGCGTTGCTAGTCAACACTACCAAGTGTTGTTGGTAACACTGGGCAGGCGCGGCGTATTGGACGATGACGTCATACGCTGACCCCAATTGTCGCCACAGGGGGAGGGGTGCGCATGGTCACCGGGCGTGAACGGCCTTCGTGGAATGCGTAGTTTGACGTATGTGGAGGGATGTGTGGGGGGGGGGGGGCGCAGAGTACGGTATGTTTGAGGCTAGTGAAAAGAAGAGCGGTTGGGAAATCATAGAAGGTGCGCGTTGAAGAGCCGCATTCGGGGTTCGAGCGCTTGGGGGATGGGAGGAGGGAAGGTCAGGGTCGCGGTGCAGCCGTAAAATATCGGGGTCATCGATTGCAGATCTGATCTAGGTCATCTCTTGGGACAATGCTTTTGTGTTTATCCAGCACTTTGGGCTGTTCAGCTAGAGAATCTGATAATTACGCAGTAGTGTGCCTATCTGTTTTTTTTTTCTGACGCTTCTATTACTCTGCCGTATAAAGCTTAAAAAACATTTTGATTTTGCACCTGGTAGTTATTTATGTCTTTGGGGGTTCATAAATACCTTTATATTCACTTATAAATAATCGTAAGAATAAACAAAGATAGCCATTAACCACACTACTGATCGGAATCAACCGCATGTGGACAATATTTCGATGGAAACGGCCTGCATGTGAAATGTAACGTGGCTAACATCTATAACGAAACAAGGGTAATGTTAGTGAGGGAGGGTCACGTGCTGGGTAACGTGCATCAGGGGCTAACCGAAGAAAGACTGTCAAGCACAATTACTTGTTGCCATGCCTTTTGAGTCAGCTGTCATAAAAGCTCGCATGGAATGACACGATCATTCGAAAGGTGGCAAAATATCGCCTGATACTTGCCTGGGGAGGTAGGGGAAGGTGGGGTAAGACGGCCCAGCGGGGCAAGACGGACCAACAGCCCTCCCGGCTGAACCGCTGCTGTTATCTACTGCTTTATGCACTCACTACCTTTGTTTCCCTTCGTAACAATGGCCACCTTGAGCTCATGAGGCTAGGATGCATAGCTTTTGAGTTATTGAGAAAAATGTTGTTTTTCGTCAAACCGATCTAATATAAGAGGTCTACGGGTGATTCAATTTCGGCGCCTTTATTGCATGATTAGTTTCTATTTTCCACTTTACGGTGAAGAACAAAATTATAAACTTGGTTATAGTCACACTTTAGAACAGGCAAGGTTTCGCAATGTTGGGCTATTTGACATACACGTCATGATAATGACAGGATTTAGATTTGGGGCAAGACGGACCACTGTGGTCCATCTTACCCTGTGGTGGTCCATTGTACCCATCATATGGAAAATTCTTTTCTAAAGCATTGACACAAGTTTAAGTAAGCCAATTTTTCAGGAAGGAGCCTTTGTTGCACATGGACCATTGCAAATGCTAGCTAGCATGCATTCATGCCAAACGACAATCAACACACATGTTCCCAGCTTTTAGTTGCACTTCCATAACATATGAGCATAGAATAAAGGTTCATTTTGTTATTTTACCACTCTACTTACTCGAGTACAGATTAGAACTGTACCAAGCATGAATGGATAGCAGGCACTTCTGGGTGGTCCGTCTTACCCCGCGTTTTTTCTTGTCTGAGTTTTTGACATGTCCATCTTTAAGAGCATCCACCACCTAGATGTCTTTATTTTGCAATTCAGTCTTTGCACACATCAAAAGAGGAAGGATTGAGCATTCAGAAGACTATAAACAATATGAGTTACGAGAGCAGTGTAGAAAGATATGCGGCCTCAAACCTTAGCTGGTCCGTCTTACCCCACCTTCCCCTATTACTTGAAAATAAAGCTGTATTTACGCTACAAGCCATTTACTTGCCAATGCCGTGGTTTTCAGATGTCTTGTGGTCACGTGATATGAAGCACATCGCAAAGGGTAACGCGAGTTCGAGACCGAAAACGACTACTTGCCCACTCAAACTACACTATTTCTCGCTAGATGTCGGCAGCGTCGCCGCCTGGAATGATGCTGTTCCGTCGTACCCAAATGCTCACCGGTACAGCCTACCGTGGTGCTCGGCGGGATAGTATCAAATCAGGCGCAAATGGTGCTGCCATCTATGGAGCGATAAGGAAGGCAATGTTCTAAGCATGTCTGCAAGATCTGTTATGCTCGTTCGCACAATTGCTTAGCATAATAGAGTAATTAAGTCGTTAGTCGTCTGTAATACCACTGTATCCTTGTTTGTGAAGGTTTCAATGCACTTAGCAACTACATTTTGTGCTTTTTGTATAGCTTTTTGTCTACGGCATTGGATGGAACGCATAAAATAGGGCGATTGGAAACAAATGTAATTCAACAATTCGTAGCATGAACTGCCGTACAGCCATCAACTATTGCTGCAAAGGACCTACCTATACAAAGAACGGACAAAAGTATTCTTATCATATTATGCAGAACGGGTTAGAATTGGCCTACGTACCTAACCACGGAAAGTTGGCATCGTATTGAATGACAGAAAGAGAGGTAATGTTCCAGATTACCAGTACATTAAAGTACGGTGATCAGGAATCGTATCGTGCAATTATTCCGGTTTCAGATTGCCAACTAAAGTTAGTCATAAACAGGATTGAAAATAGTCAAAATATTTTATTATTACCTGGCTGCATTTCACGAGAAAACTTAACAATACTGGCATAATATTTCCTTAATGGGACGCAGTAAATAAAAGCCGGTATTTTCGACATCGATACCCAGAATTAATGGCTGGTGGCCTAGTGCAAAATCGAAGTCAGTCGCGAGTGCCTCACGTGGGACAGATCCTCGGTGGCATCGCATAGTACCGATACAACAAAAATGAAATAATAAAGTACAAATGTATTTCATTCTGGACAGGGCACAGCTGTAATCTCATACACTTTTACAGCGTAATGTTTGTGGCACATCAAGCATGCCCTCCACTATGTACAACGATGCAACACGTTAGCTTCAACGTTCGAACTCCATCATCACAAGTCATACCGGTCGATCATTATATCACTTCTCCACCTTAGCGCGTTTGGCGGCCGGCTGCGACAACTTCTGCGATCTGGACAGCTTCGAGGGCTTCTGTGACGGCCGAGTCAGCCTCACCACGCCCTGGGACAACTGCGACCTGGCCAGCTGGCTGGCCGTCCCCGCCGGAGCGTCGGCGCCGCGCGGGTCCCTGTTCTCGGCGCCCTCCTCCTCTTCCTCTTCCTCTGAGCTCCCCGCTCTCTCCAGCGCCGCCTGCAGCGTGGCCTGGATGATGCGGAAGTCGCGCGAGGTGCTCAGCTTCACCCCCGCGTGCAGATCGAGCTTCGTGCGCTTCCCGAGAGCGATCAGGTGCTTCTCGAAGTTCTCGATGTTACACACGAGCACGGGGATGAGACGCGTCTGACGCAGCACTCGCGCGCGCTTCACTGCAGGGTCAGCTTTACCCTGCCGCTGCTGCCGCTGCTGTGACTCGGTGAACGTGATGAAGACGTACACATGTGGAGTCAGGGAGCGGCCGCACGCCTCCAGCACCCGCTCGAACCTGCAGAAATCGGGGAAGGGTGCGTGAGGCACGGTCACGACGGTGTTACGTCCAATGGCTGCTTGGTTATCGGCAGTTTGATAAGTGGGGGATGACGGGGGATGACTGACTTTCGAAGTAGCGCTACACTACATCAATTTATAAATGCAAATAAATATGCAACCTTCGCATCAATTGGCTAGTTCTTAGTCAGTGCCTGACGAAGAAGCTACTGACTAAAACAAGAAGCAATGACCATTGCCAACAATCAAAAACGAAAAATATGATAGAGGACTAAATAGTTATAAGGATCCAGTGGCATGCTGCAGCTCTACATACTGTTCATTTTAATTCTACTTCAACGAATATTATGAGTAAGTGAATTGGAGCTATGAAACCCAACCATAATGACATTAAGTTCAACGACACCTCGTCATCGTATCACCCAAAACACACACACTTATAAGGAAACCTTCCCATCCAACTTACTTTCCGCACACGGTGGCCTTGGTGAGTTTGGTGTGCTTGTTGCGAGCCGCGTAGTACTTGACCAGCGCCGCCAGGCTGACGTACGTCCTACCGAGCAGTTTGAGCACGGCGTCAGTGTCGGGTCCGAGCGGCGCCGCCGACTGCGCTAGCTCGTCTAGTACAGCGACCAGAGCCAGCACCCTGCTGCACACTGCCGCCTCCTGCTTGGCCTGCTGTTCGTCCAGCGTGGCGCCGGCGGCCGCGCGGCAGCCCGCCAGCAACCAGTCCACCGCCTCCAGCCAGCCGGTCAGCCGGGAGCAGAGCGCCAGCAGGCAGCCGGCCGCACTGCGCTCGGTCACAGCACCCAGTGGCGGGTCGGCCGCAATCAGCTGGACGCTCTCGTCCAGGTCACCGAGCTGCTCGTGGACGGCGCGAGCCACCTGGCGGGCCACACCGGACTGTGGGGACAGTCGGTCGGCGAGGGACAGACCGAGCTCGACTAGCTGACGGCACAAAGCGTGGCCGTCCGCCGGCGGCTGGCGCAGCTGCTGCTGGCTCCAGCTCAGTAAATCCGCCTGCTCCTCTGTGGACGCCTCGCCGGCCGCCAGCAGCAGGAGCCGCAGCAGGGGAGCGACACCGCGCGCCGCGCAGCCGGCAGACAACAGGAGACGACAACGCGTCAGCAGACCTCCCGCACCGTCCACAGCTGTCTCCTCGAGCAGGGTCGGCATCCGCGCCGGGAAGTGGTGTTTGAACGCCTCCAGGAGATCAGCGAGCGCCTCCAGGCAGGTCGGAGACAGTTCCTCCTCCTCAGCGCCAGCCAGTTTGAGCAGCGCCGGGGCCAGGCGGCAGGCGAGCTCCACCAGGTGGCGCTGATTAGCCCCCTCCGCGCCTGCGCACTCGCCGTCGGCGCGCAGCTGGCCACTCAGCTGACGCGCCGCGTTCGCCACGTGCTGCGTCAGTTTCGTCTCGGAGCGCAGCTTCTCCAGGGAGACGTGATGCGCCGGGTTAGCATCAGTAGTCAGCGCAGACAGGAGGCGAGTCACTGATCGAAGACTGAGGCAGAGTGGCTCGGTGGCCGGATCACGAGACGCCGACTTCTCCGCTGCCGACTTCGCTGCCGCAGAGTCCTTCTTCTTGCCTTTGGTGGAGGCTTTCGATCGACGAAACTCCGCTACAGAGTCCAGCTTCTGGTGAATGCAGATTAGTACGGTGGCGGCGGCGGAGTCGCTCTCGAAGTCACTCTGACAGCGGTGGTCAAGGAGTGCCTCATACACACCCTGGAGCAGCATCAGCATCAACACGTTCTTCCGTCCCTCGGTCGACGAGCCCACATCACACTCCTTCCCCAGATCGAAGTCGTCCAGTTCGACGTTCATCATGCGCTTGGCGATGTCGTCCAGAACTCTTTCAGCTTCGCGAGCGGCCACCACGTCAGGGCCCTCGTCTTCCGTCTCATCAGTGTTCGCCCCGGCCAGCACGCGACGCGAGCACGCCGCCAGGGCAGCCAGCATCTGCGGCAGGGGCTCCAGCAGGCTCACCTCCTCCCCGACCTCCACACAGGCCGCGAGCCTCAACGGCGGCGCCCGCGCGCTGTCGTCCGTGAACAGCTTCAGCTGCTGCAGCAGCATCGAGATGATGGTCTCTGCGAGCTCCGGGTTGCGGCTGATGACCTCATGCAGGCCGGCGTACAGTGTGGCGCGGACAGGGGCCTGCTGGGTGAGACAGCGACGCAGCACTCCGAGCAACTCCAGACAGAGCGCCTCGTTGGCCGATGTGGGGAAGGCCGGGCCCAGGTCGGCCGCTACTTGCGACATGGCGCAGCTGAAGTTCTGTGAAGCCTGGCTGAACGGTAAGCTGCTGACCACGCGGAAGTGGCGCAGACAGAGGAGCAGTCCGCAGACGGCGATCTGGCGGCCCTCGCAGCGTTTCCCGACCAGCAGTTTCCGCAGTGTGAGCACCAGCTGGTCCTTAAGTGGCGCACAGATCTTCAGCACGGGTAGAAGCGCGGCCAGCAGACGGCGCGCGGTGGTGAGCGGCAGGAGCCCCAGGTGTGCCAGCAGGTCCGTCAGGTGGGCGCGGCTCTCGGCCACCGTCAGCGGACAGCCGGCCACCAGGTGACCCAGCGCCTCCGCGTGCGCCTCCGCGCTCACACCGCCGGCCAGTGCCGTCACCAGCCGGCCGACAGCGTCCCGCGCCAGCTCCGGGCGTCGGCCGATCAGAGCCGTCAGCGCGGTGGAGCCGAGCCGCGCCAGAGGTTTGGACCCAGCCGAGAGCAGTGCGAAGCACAGCCGGAGCAGGCCGTCACCGGCCGGTGCCCAGCCGCCGGCGGAAAGTGCAGCAGCCTCCAGCAGCAGCCGCTCGGCGTCTACCGGCGGCGGCGCCGCGTCGCGCAGCCACCGGCTCTCCTCGCGCAGCGCTGTCTCGCGCGCAGACCGGCCCAGTGCAGACACGAGCGCGTCCAGCACTGTCTGCGCGTGGCTCTCGCCGCCAGCCAGCGCCAGCGCGAGCGCCAGGCTGAACGGCGTCAGCAGGCGCGCCGGACACTGCACGGAGGCGCGCACGTGACGAGCGAACTCCTTAACCAGCCCCTGCTCCAGACAGGGCGCGTGTGTCACGTGGTAGATGACCGTGCCCTCCGCCTGACGGAGGTTGGCCGCCGCTCGCGTGTCCTCCTCCCCTTTCGCGCGCAGTCGCTCCTCCTGTTTGGCGAAGTGATCCAGAAGCAGGTGGAGCAGCCTGGCGCCGGCCGGTCCGGAGCAGAGCCGCACCAGTTGGTAGACCAGCGGAGGGACGTCCTGCACCTCCAGACGCCGCAGCAGGCCGCGCACTGCGTCCAGGACGGCGTCCAGCTCATCGGCCGCCATGCGCTGGTCGCGGAGCACCTCCACCAGCCGGGTGGCGGTCGGCGCGGTCAGCTCCGCGCGCCATACCGCCGCCAGCACCTCTGCACGCGCCACGCTGCCCGCGATGGTGGCGCCATCATACTCGAGCTCAGGGAACTCAGAAAGCATGGCCAGCAGCTTTGGGAAGAGCTCCACCCACCGACCAGTGAGCGGCTCTGAGCGGGTGATGGCTGAGACAAACTGCTTTGTCAGCCGAGCCACACTAGAGGATGGCAGAGAGGACAGCTGCAGCAGCAGCATGCCTGTTACATCGCGGGAGCACTGGGCATCAATGCTTTCACTCTTCAGAGCATCAACACAGGCAGTGATCAAGTCCAGTCTCTTGATCTGCATCGAGTCTGAGTTGAGAGAAGATATAGCAGAATTGAGCACTGAGCTGGCATCAGGTGATTTGGTAATATTCAGAACAGCATGCTTCAGCTCACCAGCAGAAGCTCTTGAAAGGAGACTCCTGAGCTCTTCTTCATCTTTGCAACAATCTTTTATAAGTGCATCAAGACCAGCCATTTCAAGACTCTTTCAGGTCATATAATGTATATTTCTGCAAGTAAGAAAACATTGTCAATAAGCATTATGTCACATGGAACTAACTCAATAAAACCTTTTGAGATGATTAAGTTTATAAATGTAATTCAGGTATAATGGGCAATAATCTTTTGAGCTGGAGTTTGTCAATACATGTGACTCCTGCAGCTGCAATAGGTACTGAAAAGGGCATGAGTAAAGCAGGCATCATCCTTGTTTTTGCAACCAAGGAAAGGTGCTGCAAGTTAGGTTGTAGGTTTTAGGTTGTAGGTTGTAGGTTTTAGGTTGTAGATTGTACTTGTAGGTAAGGTTAGGTCAGGTTTGGTTAGGTTTGGGTTGGTTTGATCAGAGAGCATCTCTGGGTATAGCACCTCTCCTTGGTTGCAAACAAAAAACAGGTGTGATGTGATGCCTGCTTTATGACTACCCTGAAAAGTACAGGAAAGGCTACATCAATCAAAGAATCACACGCATTCTGTTTCCGCCCCAGCTGTGAAACATCAGATGAGATCCCACATGTCAGATCCATGGAATTCCACTACAACTTGAACTAGGATTCCTACATCACATCTATATCTCTTTTGGATTTCTTGGATTTTTTCATGGGCAGACAACAAGCAACGTTCAATGATAAAAAGCACGGTATATATATAGAGCTGCGCATAACCCAGGGTATATTGAGTGAAACGCATGACCTGAGTTTATATGTAGGCGTATGAGAGCTAATTCACATTGAACTTAAATTAAAGATCGACCTGGGGGAGGCTTTTCGTGGACCCCCCTCAAAATTTCACGGTTGCAACAAACTTTCAGCATATAAATATTCATATATAAATTAAAAATCGCGCGAAATGTTGTTTGTCGACAATGCGCCGTTTCCGATAACTTTGCCTTTTATTTCGCAGGTGCTAACTAGTTTAAAGAAATATTTGAAGTAAGCAAAAGTTAAATTTATTGTGACATCAAATTTCTTTTAAAAAAAGCTAAATAAGACCCAGTTGCTGCTTAAAATAAAGAAAAGCAAATTGAAATGGAAAATATCATATATAAACGTCATCAAATTCATATCAGCACAAAAATCAATGGTCGCGTTGTGACCGCCAGAAAACGCTACCTTGCGCCGATTCTGTGATTGCGAAATCAAAATACACTCACGCGCAAAATACATTTTATATATATCAAATTACGAGTTTGTATTTTGTCTGCGCGTTCAAAGCTGTGGTTAATTTTAAGTACTCACTTAACAGAAATCATGGAGACTACCGAGACCGATTCCTTGAAAGCCGTCGGGGATACTACAGGTCAGGGTGAGTTATAATATGCAAGTGGATCCCAGGCCATTTCCACGTAATTTTATGTCAGTACCTAAGTGCCATAAAACCATGAATTATGATGTGCAATTGCATAATATTCCTGTAACTGAATCATCCCATATTGCAACATTGCATATCTATCTCATTCTCACCTGTCAAACTCACCTGTTAAGTTTCCACAACCTCGGCGTAAAGGAAGGAGTCAGAGTGAGAACCTGTTGCATGCAGAGACGCGCCAATTCCTTGGGAGGGCAGATGGTGGGACCTCAGGAAAGGAATTGGAATGAGGCATTATCCCATCCCAATGGAATTCACCAAATCAGAGAGCTGGATCTATGATTCTATTGGATCCAAGTTCAACATCATTGGGGACAGATTCAGGCGAGAAATGATCTTCATAGTCAGTGCACCCTAAAGCCCCAATAACAACAGTGGGAACTGGGAACAGATTCCAGGTCTACTTTCTCAAATCCATGCACATGTCTGGTTAAAGTGCCCAATTTTTGTAAAAATTTCAAGCTGCTTTTCAGTGACTAGGTACATAAAAATACCCCCCATTTTCAACTTATAATTACTGGTCAGTGGTCAGTGTAAACCATTGGTCATGAGATTGCTCATCCACTAGATGCATGCTTGGATCTGCCACTGGGCTTGATTTGGTCTTACTCAGATAACTGCTAGTTGTAACTAGGTCTCAGGTCCCTGCCAACTCATGCTAGGTAATAGGTGACAGGTGTCATTGGTATCATTGCAATACATATTGCAAGCAAAATTGAACATTAACTTTACACTATAGGTAGTCTGGCAAACCTAAGAAAGAATGGAGCTAAAGCTTCTGTATCATTTTGCCACATGTTTTGATCACTGAGCATGTATGGTTTGAAGAAAATTCATGCTAAGAGTTGTGAGAGAAATATTCTTCAATATATTTCATACAACATCAAAACCTTCATCAATGGTGGCTGTGCTTTGAACCTGTTCTTTCTTAGGTTTGCCAGACTATAAATAAATAGTTATTTTAACTGTGAACTTGTTAGGATAACTCAAAGCATGTGAAATTAACATAAGTCCAATGTTTTCAGGTCCTGTGAATGGCATGGATACACAGAACAAGCAAGAGGTATCTGGAAAGAGGAAAAGAGATGAAGATGAACCACAACCTTCAGCAGTTGACTCCATTGTTGAAGAGACTCATGTGGAGTCTAAAAATGGTCAGTCTTTACCACAAATTACATCAAAATTAAATTAAAGTAGGTACAGACATGTTATAAATCATAATAGGTATAGATTAGAAGACTTGAAGGAACAGATTGACAGATCCAGAGCCCAGAGCTGGGAGCCCCAAGAGCTTGTTCAGGCTGAAAGCCTAATGTCTGATCAGTCCACTCCAGGAAATCAGGAGAATATGGTTGCTGAAATTAAGCACTCCAATCGAAGCTGGATATGATCTATCTCACTCATTTACTTTGATGGGCTGAGGCTGCTCTCATTGCTGGAAGTCCAATACTGAACACTCTAGTACTCTACCATGTTCTAGGCTCTCAATGGACCATAGGACAAACTTCATATGTAGACATGGCCGATTTAGTTTCATCATTCGTATTTAGTAATCGATAAAGTTAATCTGACAAATTAAAATTATATTATAAAAACGGTCGAAAATCAATAAGGACAAAATAAAATCATGCTCGCTACGCAGCTGCTCGTTCGAATCTCTCGTTGCAACCCAAAAATTAACACAATCCACAATTCTAAATTCTCATGGCGAACCACGCGCCACAATAAACGTTTAACACTTCTAATATAATGAATAAATATTGAGCTGTGTTTTACACCGCCTACACATATACCTAGACCTTAGGATGGATTTATGACACCACCTGTTTCAACTTGATAGCATTGTTTGGTTAAGGTCTATTTCACAGACCAACATTGCTTCTCGCTTCTTACTTTTTTGTGATCTACAGTGACCTATTTTGTCAAGTGGTACAGGTTTGCACAAATAGTTGCATGAATGATGATCTAGTGAGAATTGCATGAACAACTTACAGCTCTCAACAGTCATAAGAAGTGATACCTACATGCAATTTTAATCGACTTGTTCTCAAATGTATGGATCTTTTGTAACCTAATTAGGCTTATCTTGTCTAATCTATTGACATATCTACCTGATTCTTCACTATGCTACCCAGGGTTGTCCAACATGAGGGTATCTGTCTTCCAAAACACTCACAAAGACTCAGTCCTTCCCCAGCCTTGCTATACCCTCTGAGCTCTCTGATCACCACCAGCCACCACCTGTGACATCTCAGATTATTATATTGAGAGTTCCTGTATGAAATGCCATGATGCAGATCAAAAACAGTTTCATGAATGGTGTACCGGTTTCGTCCGTTGACTTCGTGAGCGCCGTTGTATCCGGCGCTAATATAGTGAATTGACGAAACCGGTTTGCCATTCATGTAACTTTTTTATTTTTATCGTGGAATTTCATGCAGTTAGGCACTCTCAATGCAATACTTGTCCAGATTATAATTATAATATCTGATCATTTACAACACCATTAGCAGTTTCTGATTTTCCACCATCCCCAGAGCCTGATCATCCCGCATCACCGGACTTCACCACTCCGAACGACAGCTTCCAATCGGCCGTCGACGGGGACCCGGCGCCCGCCGAGGGAGCCGGCGGTGATACGGGCGGACCGAGTCGCCGCTCCTCCCGCGCCGGAACCGCAACCCCGGCCGGAGCCGCCACCGGTGCTGCCAAAAAGGCGGACGATGGGAACGACTCGGATTCGACTACGGGCCTGGAGGAGGATGAGTTTCTGGTGGAGAAGATTCTGGATTATACCAGGGAAAATGTGAGACAGGGGAGCCGCTTGTCGAAGTATTTGTGTGATATGGGTTGCTTCTTCTAGTTGGTCTAGCAATGCGTAGGACAGTGTTCGGGTGCTTGCTCTGTGGTAATCCCCGTGCCGTCGTTTCACTCTACACACATGCGAAGCCAGTTGCTTGTTATATGAGTCGAGTGAGGGACGGCCGGGGAAAGTGAGCGGGGGCGGATCGGAGGCATCCTCAGGCAGCCGGAAAGGGAGGGGTATCCTGATACAATGCGTTATTGGTTTGCTATGATGGCTAATCCGTAATCGCCACGCCATACGTGGAAGGCTTTTGATGTCAATGCGTACATACATACATGAGATGATCCATGACTGCACTTGACACACCTTTCTATGTTGTTAGGGTGTGGACATGTTCCTGATCAAGTGGAAGGGCTGGAACAACACGCACAACACGTGGGAGCCGCAGGAGAACCTTAGCTGCCTGGAGATGATGATCGACTTCTTCAAGGAGCGGGAACTCGCGCACCAAAACAAGTGAGTTAGGCACTCTCTTGGACAGACCGGTGGCTCGCAACACAGTACCGATGGTGGTTTCGTGATCTCGTAAAAGTGCGCCTTTTTGATATGCTTGGCACTATGCGCTAACTGATAGGGTTACAGGGGCTACCATTTCCAACTTATTTTTCGTCGCATACCATCGGATCCACACAGGCGTATAACCTGATATCTGACATGAGCTATGCTTAGGTATCAGTCCGATGGCTGACTCCTGGTCTTTCTGAGGATAACATGATCCTGCACCCCTGTCCCGACCGCTGACCTCGAACTTCTTACCCGACAGGCGGCGGAAGACGGAACCCTCCATGGCCAGGGAGGGCTATGTGCAAATGTTTGAAGAGGAATATTTGCAAATGACTCCCAACGAGGTGGCAAAAGAGTTCTCTCAGCATCTCGTCAATGGCCAGCTGAAGTTTAAGGAAAAACTAAAACCCATCAAGACGGTCCACATGGTAAGGATGGCGATGACGTGCTCATATACACTCATTCATAATGATTGGTCGACAATCGTGGTTTTGAGCAAGACGTTTGTCATTGCCCTGGAGTGTCGCTGTTTTTTCATGTGCCCTTCGGACTCGTGGCCTGCTATTTATGTTGTCCAGATTGTGTCACTAATGCTCGTAACGAACTTAAATCGACAGATGCTCTAAACTGAGTTCCTTGTCGATGAGCCGTGGGCTGTTACCTCTGCCTTCAGCTGCATTAAGTTTGTAGCGAGTGACCCTTCCACTGTCTTTATGGCCACTTCACTCCTAAGTTGGAAAGCACTCAAGTTAACCGTCCGCTCACCTCCGATCCGTCTCCGCCGTTCACAGGAGATCGAGTCGTTCGTTCGCCGTAACGGTCTGAAGCCCGACTCTCTGAAGGCGCTGAGGAAGGTCCGTCACCTGAGGGACCAGCTGCTGCAGCACAAGCTGGTCGAGACGCGCGAGCGGCAGCTGGTGCGACTCAAACAGTGGGAGGATGACATTAACACGGTGTGCTCGGACTCTGCGAAAATCGTCGTGGAGAACGCCGTGGACCTGGCGCTGCCGCCCGACAACTTCGTCTACAAGAACGACTACGTGGTGGGTGGATCGCGCGCGAAAGAGACGCCGGTCACTCGGCTAGTTGAGGCTCAAACTTTGCGCACAAAATGAGCTGCTCATGATTGAAGTCGTCGTGTTTTCAAGCCTTGCATACTAACAACATCCGCTGTATTTTATTTGTTTTCATGTCCCACTCTGAAACCTTTATAATCATAGCAAAATGTATTTGATCCTCAACGTCTTGTTTCGCTCGTAGAGCTTTCATTTCTCCTGGCCCGTCTACAGGTCAAATGGTTAGTCAGGTGAATAGTGAATATGCCGCAGGCCAGCAATGTTTCTAACTCCGCCTCCGTTTCTCCTTCGACAGCCGGGCGAGGGCGTAGTGATTCCCTCCGACCCGGTGATTGGCTGCGACTGCACTGTCTGCTACCCGGGCACCAGCTGCTGCAGTGAGAAGGCCGGAGCGCCGCCCGCCTACACCAAGGCCGGCAAACTGCGGCTGCAGGTCGGCCAGCCCATCTATGAGTGTAATAAGGCGTGTCGGTGTGAGAGCGACTGCTTCAACCGTGTCGTGCAGCGGGGACGCAAGGTGAGAGAACGGGGAAGGAGAGGAGGGGGAAGTGAAGGAATAAAGGAGAGGGGCGAAGGTATGCTTAGAGAGCAGCCGGATATATCGCAGCCGGTTCGTAGATTTATTTTCATGTCAATTATTTGTGTACATTCATGCCGATTTTTTTTTTTTTTTTTACTTGCATTCTTGCCTATGGCCGACGTTTATCTCGTCTCATTATAAGCTTGCTGGTGCGGCTCGTCTCCCCAAATCATCATCTCATTATAAGCCTTCCTAGCACTGATGTCTGGACGTGTGTGCTGTCGGCAGTATCCCAGTAACACATCATCCTTTCACTTCCCACCTCCCCGCTGTTTCCACCACCACTGACCCCGAACCGCTGCCCCGCTCCGCTCCAGGTGAAGCTGTCCATCTTCCGCACCTCCAACGGATGCGGCTGGGGCGTCAAGGCCCTGGAGTCCATCAAGCGCGGCTCGTTTGTGGCCGAGTATGTCGGCGAGGTTATAACCAACGAGGAAGCCGAGAGGCGAGGAGAGAAGTACGGTAAGTGGTCTTCGGGAGGAGGCCAGGGAGAGAGGAAGTGTGGGCTCTCTTGTAAAGCCAAGCAAACACTATGTACCCTGGGTGTAAAATCGTTGGGTAGAGCAATTATGAAGTGTAGGTTTGCTCTGTCATTCTTAGGTGTTGTTTTTATCGTTTATAGGCTGTGGTTGTTTTTATAGGCTGTGGGTGTGGATCTTTGGTAAAGTGGGTTGGTGTATTTGTGTGAGGAGCTGGTGTTTTTTATGGGCATGTATGCGGTTTGTCGGCATCCGCAATGCCTGATGTAGATGGCGCACTAGTGCAGTATAGCCACCACCTTGCATCTTTGGGTCTTGGCTGCTGATTGAATGATGAATCGAGCCAGCTGATAGTGCTGTGGATTCATTGTTCTATTCCCAACGTATTTACTCAAGCCGTTGTTTGGTACTCAATGCCTGACTGCTTACCAAGTGCTGTGGATTCATTATTCTATTCCCAACGTATTTACTCAAGCCGTTGTGTCATTGTTCTATTCCCAACGTATTTACTCTAGCCGTTGTTTGGTACTCAATGCCTGACTACTTACCAAGTGCTGTGGATTCATTGTTCTATTCCCAACGAATTTACTCAAGCCGTTGTTTGCCGTTGTTTGGTACTCAATGCCTGACTACTTACCAGCTCCATCCGTCGTAACACCCCCTGGTCACCCTCCCCAGACTCCGTGGGCGTCACCTACTTGTTCGACCTCGACTTCAACGACCACATCAACCTGTACACGGTGGACGCGGCCATGTACGGCAACATCTCCCACTTCATCAACCACTCGGTGAGTCAATGGGGAGAACGGGCCGGGTCTGGGACGTAATAGATGGTAGGTCTGAGCATCCACAGCCTGCTAGTGTAGGCACAGGTGAAATAATTGGTGTTGTTCAGTTACTGCGCGTGTGAACAGAGTATGATCGTGTTCGGCTTGAAGCGCAACGGTCTGGATCCAAACATGCCATGCCTCTGTCTTTCGGTAACCTACGTCTGACCCTTGACCTCTGATCTGCACTGTGACCAAAATTGTCATACATCTGACTTCTGTGATGATCTCCCTCTGACTTCTGGTCTGGTGACGTGCCTACCAGTTCTAAGTACCTCTGTCGTGCAGTGAGCTGTGAGCTAAACCTGACTAACCTCCAATCTTTGACCCCTGGACGTGACCTACCTCTGATATCTGACCCCTGATCCGCAGTGTGAGCCGAATCTGGTGGTGTACGGTATGTGGTCGGACTGCCTGGACCCGAACCTGCCGCGCCTGGCGCTGTTCGCCTGCCGCGATATCCTGAAGGGAGAGCAGCTCTACTTTGACTACAACTCGCCGCTGGGCAGCAACGTCTCCGGAAAGCCGCTCACGCCCACCGCAGGTGAGCTGGAATGTGAGCTTTCTCCAAGGTTTCTCACTGTGAATACGCCTTGGGAGGTTGGTTGTGTGGTCGCCGACTGCATATTGCGAGGAGGCGTATTACCAGGCGTAAATTTTATAGCGAGCCAGTTTTTTGTTGCTTGATCTAAGGGAGAGTGGTTTCTGTCTGGTCTTTGATTATAAACTGTTGCCATTTTTTTTATTTTTGCAAATCGCCCTCCTCACTTATTATGCTAATCATTTGTCATATATGCTGCCTTCATTCAATTTGCATAAGTATTGTCATGGTCTGCCGCTCTGTGCTCTCGTTCTGCGTGTTCTGTCTCCCATCGTTGACAGTTGTTCCCCATCACAGGCGCGGCCAAGCCGCCCCCGACAGTCTCCGTGGCGCTCTCCCCTCCTCCCGCCGACGGCTCGCGCACTCCGCCGCGGCAGGAGGGCACTCCTGACGCGCCCTCCGAGGCGCTGGTCAGCCCCACCAAGTCGCCCCGCCGCCAGATCGGCGGCCACCCGTCCGCCCGCATCACCTGCAAGTGCGGCGCAAAGGCCTGCCGACGGTACCTGTTCTGAGGACGTGTCATTCACCGCCGCCGCTGCCATCGCGCACCTCGAGGGCGAGGTGGTTTTCTGCGCATGCGCGCGGTTGCACCACTGCCATGAAGTTGTACCTGTGAGGACTACTAAGCCTCTTTCACGTGGTGGAAGTGGTGAACGTGAAGAGACGTGATCTCGTTCTCGAGATGTGATGCCGGATGAACTGGTGGACTGATGGCGTTCGCCAGCCATTCAGTCAATACCAGTCAAAGGAAGTGAGGACTGAGGAGTTGGCTGAGGCCGGCTAAGTCGATACGATTCCGTCGTATTCATCGTTGGTGACAGCGCCCTCTGGGCGATTCCAAGCTGGACGTTGGAGCTGGACAAGCATGCCATTATATGTATCGCACAATGCATCGCACATGTTCAACGGCGCAAGCATCTGTGTCTCTAGAAGCAATCGCCTGAAACTAATGTTCAATCCGAGTTCAACTCGAGTGTGATGATCGAAAGAGGGGAGAGTTTTGGAGAAGCGTGTGCTTTCGCACCAGGTCGCCATTGTGAACACTGAACTTGTGAACACTGTTCAGTGTTCACGCTGAACTACATTCTGTGTTGTGCTGTCGAATGTTGCCGGATGGTAGGGTTTCAAGACCAGGTTTAGCAATGCGAGGTGTGCCAAAATGTCTGATATGCATGCTGCAGTGTCGGGATGCTCGCTTTTGCGGACCATTCCACTGCGTGGATGTAGGGCTTGTAAAGATTCCGACTGAGAAAGACGACTATTTTGACCTTGTTTTCATCGAAAGTGTGGTCAAAGATGGCCTGGTGTGTTGCACGTTTTGGAGCATTTTCATCGTTAGATGCGGAAAGTTATTTGTTTAGCTTAATTTAAGCGGCGCATGTGCGACCGGCTGAGCGTTTTACGCCGTTATCCGCTGTCTCATCTCACAATATCATTATCATCATTTGGGCGGTGGTCGGGGCTGGCGCCCGACCGAACTTCATACCACGCTTTTACTTAGCCAGTGTCACGGATGGCGTCACATTACCAATACATGCGGACCGGAGAAGAGATGTTTGTTTGGGAGGCATGCAGCGTGGACGGTGTTGAATTCCTTGAAGGGTCTGGCAGTATTATGTGTGGTGGCCCATTTTGTTAACAACTTGAGCCGGAGTTGGGTTGTCCACTGCAATTCTGGCGTTCACGCAAGTGCCCAAGGGGATGTGCTATGCTCTCGAAGTCTGAAATAATGCTACCGTGACCCGAGTGGTTCGACCCAATGAGGTACTGCCGTCTTTCATGCTCGACATAAGTTCTCCGTTATAACGCTATCAGTCTGAAGTCAGGCTCGTGGTCTTTTTCCCCGCTTATCAACTGCCTGAGCCCTCATTCAAACCGTCGCGCCTCTCGACTCATGTTACTTCACTTAAGCGAATGATACCAAACTTCACCTTGTTTTGTACCACTTCTGAGTTTCGGGTCTCTCACAGTAACATATTCTTCCGTCATCCACTTAGTTCCTCTCCATTCCTTCCCTTTCCTTCATCAATCCAAACACACATCTCTTCAACGTCGAGGAGGTTTAATTACTGGAATAACACACCGCGCGCGCGCGAGAGGGGTCAGATGCGAGCGGCGCGTACAGAGCACAGGTGAGGCAGACGACAGACAGACGGACGGTCGAGCAACGAGCGACGAGCGGCGCGCGCAGCGGTCATGGGTGGCAGCGGCCGGAGAGGCGGCCCAGGCGGACAGGGAGCGAACGGACAGCGGACAGCGGACAGCTCAGACGACGGACAGCGGCGGACACCAGTCGGGCCGGCCAACAACCTCGGCGCTACCGGCTTTTATTACAAAAATGGCTCTCGGGCGCCAGCGACGCGCGTTCTCGCGCGGCGTCCCTGGCTCGTCCAACAACTCAACAGCTGCCCCGTGTGACGTCACACACACGCCCACCCACCCCGGTGGTGACGTCACCACCACACACACATACACACACCGCCGCGCGTCCTGACAACAGCGACACACACACCATACGACCAGCAATACAAATCCAATACAAACGGCGTCGCGCCGGCCGCCGGCGACCTCTACGAGTAAAAAATCCAGACACAAACAGCTACTACCAACTCTAAAGGAGACAGCTATGTATATTTATGCACAGGGTTTAGAGAGAGAACAAGGGTACTGGAGAGCGGGAGCCGCGTCCGCTCCCGAGCTCGCTAGCCAAAAGGCACCGAGATGGTACAAAAATAGCAGGTTTGGGAGTTGATATGTTCACGCCCGGCCGCCGGGGCGACGCGCGCGCCGCCCAGCGGCCGGGCGGCCAACTATCCGAGCGGGCGGGTGAAGATGTTGTTTGTGCTGGTTTTAGAGGATTGTCACAGCCCAAACCAATTTGACGGGCGGGCCTTAAAGCTGTCACAATACTGTTGGCGGGTGCGTCGCGGCCGCCACGCCCCCGTTGTGATTTGTTCCCTTGTAGTTCCCTGGCGGGGCGGCGCGCGGGCCACCGGCGGCCTCCCGCCGGCGCCGCGCGCGCGCGCGCGCCTTCGCCGACACCCACACACCAATAAATTAACAACACAATGCCTTCACAAATTTTGTTCGCTGTTACAGGAATGGTACACTACACGTCTTCTTAACGTTGTCTCCTCTGAACTCGGTGGCGCGCGCGTCTGTGCGCCAGCGCCGCGGGCCGGCCGCGGCCGCAGTCCGGTCCGTGGCGGCGCGGCCGGCCCGCTCGGCGGCCGTCCTCCTGGTGACGGGTCCACAGCTACAATACCGGCCGGCACCAGCCCACACCGGCGGCGCGGCCAGCCGAACGCAACTATACACTATCTAATGTAAGCAAATGCAAAAATAGTCTCCGCGGCGGCGGACGTCTCTGAAGCGCGGAGCTTCCGCGGCCGGCCGCCAGTGGCGCCACCGTCGCGCCGTTGTGACACACGCTCTGTCGTTGGCCGTCAGTCACCGTGGCGCGGCCTAGATCGTTGACTTTGAGAAGGAGACCCTGAGGTGATTAGCGTCACTGAGCTGGTAGTTGTGCATTTTCTGCGGAAAAACAAAACAGAAATAACGTCAACAATCACGGAAAATATGGAAAAACATGACAATTGATCATCAAGATCAAATCCTCGACTGAATTTACTACACTCTCGGAAATAAAGACCAACGGGCTTTTACAATGCAAACACATCGAACTAGGGACACGCTTTCATCGAGCGATATTAGGCGAGCTGCTAGGGGACGACAACACATCTCCTGACGCCGACATCCCCGCATCAAAGGCTTAGCATAATGAATGCGCCAACTCCTGTCCGACGTACGACAGACCGCCCGATCCAATTAAAAGTTGCTAATTAAAATTGGCACTCGGGACGGACCATTTTTCGTCAGCGCCGCGTCGGCCGACCGGCCCGGGAGCCTCGTCCAGACGGCAGAGTCCGCGCAGTTTCCAATCAGCACCCCCCGCCCCTGCCCGTCTGTGCGGCTCGCCCTGACTGCCCATCGCTGTCAGCTCCGCAGGAATCATTTCCCGGCGGCCGGGCGGCCATTCAACCGACCGCGCCTCACTGAAAGCTCGCCGCAGCCCTCTTTTCACCAGACATATTGGCAAACATTCAAATTCCGCTCAATTCGTCGGCAAAAGAGGCCGCGAGGAGAGTTGAAAGCGACGCCCCACATGAGCATCCATCTGAGGCGACTCAAAAGACGCTGCCGCGCCGTCATTCGGAGCAGACGCTCGACGAAGGAGATCGTTAGAAGCGGAGATCCCGCGACGATTAGCGCCACAGACTTAGTGTGAGAGCGTGTCGAGCCGACGCGCGGCGCGAGGAGAATGGAGCCATAAACAAAGCTATTATTACCGCAGTTAGCAGAGAAGAATGTGCGGGTTTATCAAAGACAGATGAAGTGGATTTCCGAAACAGAACGATGGAAATGAAATGGACAGAGAAATGGCGTGGCAAAGATGAAGTGTTTGGAGCACTCGGAAAAACATGAAGCTTAGAAAGTTGTTTGCAACGTACGGCTATGAGAAACGAGTCGATCATGCCAGAAAAAAACTGTCATAACATAAACCGCACAAGATAACCCTCACAAAGACCAAGACACTATAATAAAAAAGCATTTTCTGATAGAATCGAGCATAAACGTGATAGGAAAGATAATCAAAGATGATGAGGAAAGCAGGTCAGCATTTATAAGTAACGAAGACCAAACGACACCATTTGAATACTGAGTTTAAAATCCCCACGATAACTACTTTCATATTACCAGCAGTCCCCACCAATCCTACGCTAGCAGTGAGCCGCCAAAGAGGAACACCCAGCTCCCGCAGGTCCGCCGGTCCGCGGCTGTACTCACAATGAGAGCCATGACGGCATCCTCGACGTTGCTCAGCTGCACGAGCGCCATCCGGTGGTCCCGCCGCTGGCCGTTGTCGCCCTCAATGGCGTCACGCTTCCTGTGGGTCACCAGAGGTCGGCAGGGGTCAGCGGAGGTAACCAGAGGTCAGCAGGGTCATATTGGGTCGCGTGTTCCCCAAGGGAATACGCTACTGGTTCAGCAGAGGTCAGAGGGTCCAATGGTCAACAGAGGTCTGGTCACAGGTCACAAGAGGCCATGACAGGTTATCAGAGGACACAATTGGCCGACAATAGTCAGAGTTCGTCAGATATAGGTATCCTTGGGTCATCGGCGGTCACAATCAGTCATCAGGCTACCCTGAGGCGCTTTAAGAAATTCAGCATTTCTCAGTGCTTCATAATACCATCTCGTTCATTCAGTACAACATCCCATAATGACACTGTTACCCCTAACCTTCTAACGAGCACCTCTTCGTAAATGTTCGTAAATAAACCTAAATGTTCTGAACGCTTCACCGGTATCAAGCGCCACCTCAATTCCAGTCCCCCCTCCCTTCCCCACCCAGGTCACATCCGGCTCTGGGTGTACAAAGCCCGCTCGGCTGACCCCACTGACCCCTCTCCAGGGAGGTGAAGGGACCCCTGACCTTTACTGCCCCGCACCGCGAGCCACTCGCAATCAGCGACCCCGTTCGCCGGCTACAGAGGGCGGCCAAATGTGGCGCTCGGCGGCGGCGAGGAGAGCTGGGGGGGGGGGGGGGCGGCTGGGAGGGCAGACTGCACGGCGCCAGGACAGCGGTGGTGGCTGTAGTGGTGAAAACCGCATGAGTAAACGCTCCTATTGGCACAGATTTACGTTCGTTTGCAACAAAAAAAAAAAAAAACATAGACTTAACATGCTCACTGTTATAATGTTTATAGAGGACATTGTTTAACATCTATCAAATCCCTTTTGAATTATCAAAAAAGTCAGCAAATGCTAATCTTATTTTCATCTTTAGTAGTCAGTAGACTCTGTGGCATGCTGGCGGCACTCGGCCCGACTGGAATCGGCATTTCTCATTGACAGGCAGCTGACGTGACTCCAGGCAGGGGTGTGGGTGTGGGTGTGGGGAATGTCAATGAAAGGAATGTCAACTAACCACATGAAAGCTTCAACAGCTGACAAATGACTGAATACAGAATGCGTCCCCTATTGTGCCTGGCGACTTCGTAGGTTCGTGTCTTTATCAGTCCCACCTCTCTCAGTCCCCATCCCTCTATCCCTTCCACATTCTTTCCTCCTCCCCACCCTCTGCCACTTACGGGAAGAACTTGAAGTTTTTGACGTCGAAGCCGGCCACCTCGAAGGCCTGCCGGATGTCCTGCTCGGTGACGTGCGGCGGGATGTTGGAGAGGTGCAGCGTCGCCGACGGCGGGTAGATGTTCTGGTAGTTCTTGCTGCCCGGCTTCTTGAAGCGGTGCAGGGGCGAGTTGGTGAAGTCCTTGGTGAGGCCGGCGTCCGGCTGGCCCTCCTTGGGCATCTGCACCACCTGGTGTTTGCTGGGCATCACCCGGATCTGGCGGCCCCACACCTTCACCTTGTCCAGGTGACTGAGCGCTGCGGGCACACACGGTGTGTACAGGTCAGGTCACTTCGAAAGGAAGTTTAATTCGCCAGTAAACTCACTTCGTAGCCTCGGAGGCATTCAGTTTTGCTTACGAATCATTTCCAAACGGTAGTATTCGATCTAAATCACGGCCAACTCATCCGCATATAAAGGCAATATTTTCTTTGGCCTAAGACATCACCACAGCATGTCAGAAGGGGACTCCCGGGACCCACAGACCACTGGGGGTCTCGAAGCGGTCCCCTTATGACGATGTCGGCGGCCGGCACGCTTTCCGATCATACTCACCAAGGTTGGCCTGGTGCGGCTCGGCCATTTGTACCAGGGCGTTGTCCTTCTTGTTGAAGAGGATCTTCACGCGAGTTACGTCACCGTAAACGCCTGAGGGTCGCGCCAGGTTAGGTCAAACTGTGTCATCGACCAGCATAGCATTATATCAGGAAATAGTAACATTGCACACATATACAAAACAACACTATCAACAACAAACTACAGAAAAAGTCGCTAACGTAACGCTAAACTGACCATAAATCAACGACAAAGTTAGAAAATTGTCAAATCAACTTGTCAAAAATCTCTAGACGTTAAAGTTTAACAAAAGATCGCTAGTATGACGTCACACCATGGCGCTGCGGTGCCAGAGCCGGGCGGGCCGAGTGAGAGACTGAACAAAGGCTGAGCGCGCGGCCAGAGAACAAAACACCACAGAGCTGACAGCCCCAGGCGATAGTGACGTCACAGCGTGCCAGCCCAGTGCGAGTGTGACGTCATGACCAGCGAGCGGCCGGGCCGCCTCAGCGCTGTCCGCTAGCGAGCACCACACCAAACAACCGGGAAGGGGGCTCCCCATGAAGTAACATTACATTATGAGCAGACATAGCCGTAAATGCTCCAGTGTCGGGGCAATGGCATTATGAAATGCACCCCATCGGCTTAATGAACAATCTTTTGTATGCTGCTAAGCCTTATTTAAATTGCCATGTCTGTCTAAAAAGGCCACAGGGGGGATGCTATCACCCAATTTAGCAGGATTGACTCGTACGGTAACTCATCACCTTCAAGGAATGGCGCAGTTGACGTGCCCATATGGCGGCAGGCACCGCCCAGTTCCGTCAATAAATTTGCTCAAACTGACGACGGCTGTGTTTGGCTGACAGTTACTGGCCACACCAGGGCCAGGCATTGCCATTAGAGAACCGCTGCACTGCGGCCGAGCGTGACACAGACTATTTTTGGCCGCAGAAGTCGGGACTTCTTTCCGCTGCACGGTTCGACACATTCGTGGAACCAAATTTGAACGGAATTAGGTTTAAACGTCTGTCACAGCGACGTTGGCCAACTGGAAAGTTTTATAGGGCGTTAGCTTTATCGTGATTTACTAGCCATGCAAACAACTGGAAATTGACTAGCGATGTGATCGCTAAAGTTTGGCACATCAGTCAATCTTTATTGCTGAATCAATTCAATCAGCCCAGCTTTAGCCTACAAAGGGGAGGACGACACGCCCCAAACAACAGACACTCCCAGCAGGTGTGGTGCACACTCGCGAACAGCCCACCGCGCACCGCTGTGCCGCCCGCGTCGGACACACTCCGGACACAGTGCGGACACACAGTGTCGTGTCCGGAGCGGACAGCAGACAGCGGCGCGCGGCGTCGGCGGCCCCCCCCCCCCCGGCCGCCGGCGGACAATACCGGGCGGCGGCGTACGCGAGCAGAGTAAGAAACGCAACATACCGAAGAGAGTGAAGAGAGCTTCAGGAGAGGCCATCTACAGGCGAACAGACGGAGGGCGCGGCAGGCAACAGAGAAAAAAGACCGGTTAGAACAAGCCCCATGGATGACGCCTCCTCAGTCAACGGGCCTACACTGTCACACCAGCTATAGAGAACTCTGCTAGGGCCAAACAGACTACACAAACAACTCGCTCTCAGTCTAAGCTAGCTAGTCAGATACGCTATTGTAACGTTCGTACCGCGCTGGAAGCGGCACACAATAGATTCTCAGCAAAATCAAGACACTATCAATGATTGATGACACTGGGAAAGCCAAGCCCGGCAGAACACGAGAAAATGACACACTCGGGCTCGGCGAATTCAATCATCTGACAGGAGTGACCAATCAGCACCGCAATCAGAGCACACTGGGGTACACGAGGGGAGGGACGGGGTGGCAGAGGGAGAGAGGGAGGGAGGGGAGAGAGGGAGGGAGGGGAGAGAGGGAGAGAGGGACGGTCAGTGGTCACCCAACACAGCAGAGAACACCCAGCCAAGCACAGCATCCCAACAGACCCAGAGCGACTGTACAGCACGTATGGCGGAACCGTCCACTGCCCACCGCCCACCATCCACCATCCGCCGCCTCATAGCCTGCCGGGCTGTCGACCGTCCTTATGTACAGGTCTGGGAGCTAGCAAGGCAACATTGTGAACCACAGCAGCCGACTGGGTGTCCTGTGGGCTGTGGGCTCACAGTCCCACATCACCGGCTGCCGGCTGTAGGCGTGGGGCGGTGAGCAGCACACGGCGGGCGGTGGGCGGTGGACACCGGCGGTGGGCACGGGCGGTGGACACAGGCGGTGGACACAGGCGGTGGGCACGGGCGGTAGACGGCGGGGCGGAGGGCGGAGAGTAGAGAACGGTGGGCGGAGGGCGGAGAGTGGAAGGCACATGACACATATGGGTGAATAACAGTGGACGCAGGTTGATCCAGGTCGACATGACGCAGCGGGAGGGGGAGCCGAGGACCTTCACAGTCAGGACAGGATGAAGTCCATAAGGACGGTATGAAACACTGCGAGGACAGGCGAGCGACCCAACACACTCCCGGCGCGGTTCGTACCTCCTCATCCAGGTTGGAGACGAGCAGCACGGTTCCGCCGGTGAGCGGATTACCCTGCAGACGGCCCATGCCGATACCGGCTCCACTCAGGTTTCCGGGCATCAGACCGCCGAACGGTACTGTCGAGGAAACACCGAGAAAAGAGTCAGGTTTAAACGTTCGTCACAGAGGCGCAAACAGTTCAGAGAGACACATACCTTGGCGCAGGAACGGTCAGCGAACCGGCCCAGTTCTCACGGCATGCAAACGTACACACCCTGTGATAAACCCAATTTGGTCAGCGCATCATCATAAAACATCACCGACCTACAAACGTCACCACTATCCCCCCATCCCTCCCGATCCGTCCAACTCGAGCCGCGATCCCTCGTCGACCGGCCGCCGCCCCCGTCTCTCCCGGCGCCGGATCAGCCCCTGTAATGGTTCTGTCTGCCGGTTAGCCCGCGGACGGCGCCGGGCGTCTGACGGCGCCGCGCCGAGACGTGCGATTAGATCCGCGGCCCAACTGGTGGCAGGTGTACGTATTGGAGTTTCGCCGAACCAGGCGAACCGAGAAATCGGTCGTGTAATTGAATACGAGTCGGCTTCTAGAATCGACACCAAGAATCTCATCGGAACTGGGCCGCAGTATTTCAAAGCTGCAAGCGGCATTAATGAAATTTAAGTGGGTTCGTGCCAATTTCATTAGCATAACACTAAAGTGTAAAGGCTCAAATGCTTAAAGCACATAAAACATCGGATTCTAAAGAATTCTTTGCAAATTTAATATACATAAACCATAACAGTTTAACAAATTGCCACAAGCGTTCAATGAGCTATACAGTTCCAACAACTATCTCCTAAACATACTTCCCTGCAAGTGTCAGGCACACTCCACTCACCTCCGCCCATGCCTCCTCCCATTCCGCCGCCCATTCCGGGCATGCCTCCCATTCCGCCCATGCCCGCGAAGCCGGCCAGCGACGGCGTCAGGCCGTGCAGGCCGAATGGCGACAGCATGCCGGGAGACCCGCCTGTCAAGACGGTACACACGGGGAGGTGATGGCCCGCCGGCGACTGTCATAGGGTCACCAGGGGTCACCAGAGGGGAGTGGCAGGGGAGCTGAGGGGGCAGGGGACAGTCGGCAGCCAACGCGTAAGGGGGGGGGGGCGATTGACTGATAAAGGGTCGAGCCGGTAGCTGTGGCCAAGACTACTAAACATGGCTAACGATATGGGTGATATGGCTAGCAAGCGCCGTTAGGTGGTGCGCCCGGTAGTAAGAAGGTTACTGGGTTCTAGGGTAAAAGTTTACCCTAAGCTAGCGAGGAGTGAACTCTCAAACCAAGGTTTAATAGATGTGAAGAGAAATAAACTATCTATGTTGTTCGATTTTAATGTACATAATAAATCTTTGTGCGCATGAGCGAAACCTTCAGAAAACTGACAATGTCTTCGAGAGGAAAAGAAACTAGTGATTCGAGCGACATTGCACATACAAATAAGAGACTTATCAGTAGCTTAGGTCTGCAATATTTCTTTTTAAGTAACTTGAAACTAGAATAATTTGTCGTAGTTGGGATACATCCGTATCAGCTACCAGCAGAGGACAAAGGAACGAACCCCAGTTATTCAAATGAACAGAACGTCATGAATATTCAGCTTAGTCGGCTGAACTCATACTTGAAACGAGATAAGAAGACTCTCAGAACTTCAAAACAGCAGGGCACCAAATCTCACGGCTATCATCATACCATTTTCCAACCAGTTTAACACATTATTCACTGCAATGCATACAACCACAATGGCAACGGACACTTCCAATACAGCTGTTAAAACGCAATGTTTAGCACGAATGAGTCATTAACCAATGAAATACCAGGCAGTTAGTGCAAGTTAGACCGGTCAGCAGTGCCTAGTACACACAGACACGCACAGTCACGAACCCATAGTGCCAATCACTCAGTGCACACTGCGCACACGCCCCACATACGGCAGTGATTAGTGAAAGGCGGCACAAGAAAGCCGGGGACAGTCCTGAAATACAGAGGTCAGTGCACCCAGGCCAGGCGGTGAGCTACCCGTGTGAAAAGTGGGCACACTAGAAGACAGAAAGCGCACAGGGGGAGTGCATGCAAGGATATGGGGAGGAACACGCCATTTATTCATATTGTTGATAAACGTATGGCATTATGTCCAATAGATGTTATTTCGTTGAAACACTTTACAGGGGCGATGAAAGACCACTGCTTAGCAGGGCCTTACGACTATTGGGTTTATAATCTCTGCCTACATATTACAGTACTTATTATGCGTTTTATTAGCAACCGCTATAGCCCAGTTTAGCATCAACCATGTGGCAGCACACAAAGCTATGGCAGTTACGCAAGCAGCGTCTGAACAACAACCAACCTTCACTTCACGCTCTGTGAGAAGACAGGAAACAGAAGAGAGCCAGACACTGGAGCAGAAGCGGTCGGAACTTACTGCGCGCCAGCCGCGCTGGTCGGTCGGTGCAGGACCGGAGCGAGGATCGGGCAGGGCTCCCGCCCCGTCCACCAGCAGACGGCGGCGGGCGGCGGCGGCGGCCGGCCGCAGCCCGGGCCGAGCCTGAACGCGCGGCCGGTCGGCCCGGGCGGCGGCCGCCCGCCGCCCCCGCCCGCCGCCGCCCCGCAGCGCCAGCAGCCCCGACACCTACCTCCCAGCATAAAGCCAGCCGAATCGAGCGTGGGGTCACCTGTGGGCAGGCTGGGATTGGTGTAGTCGCGCGATTTGTCGTTGTTGTACTTGACGTTGAGGCTGGTGAGTTTAGAGTACTCGATGCGGAGCGTGCAGCACGAGTTGTAGATGTTTTGGCCGTCCAGTTGCTGAGGGAAGAACAGACACGTGACGTGAGTGACCGGCCGACAGTGGATTTAAAAATATCTGGGAATTTATGACACGGAAGAAACGGTCACACCAACCACAGCAGAACTATTGGCGCATTGTACAACGAAGTAACCAAAAAGACCTTTCGGTCACGAAGTCATCAAGCACCTCAGTCAACAGCACAAGTAGGTACGCCGTAGCTTTAGCTCATTCTCTAAGGATATTATATCGGCACAAACATCAAGCTTGTTATTCATACAGCCCACATTCTTCCGCACAATTCCTCCGCCTAAGCGCCGCCTCAAATCACAAACCCATCACGGGTAATACGTACCCAACGAGCTCCCTCCTGTCTGAATCCACCACCCGCTCTACAAATTACCCAAACCCTGTAATCATCTTCAGTCCGCCTGAGGTGTTTTTACGCCGCCACGCACACACACACCCTGCCCAGCACAAACATAGCCATCACACACATCCCTCAAACACTGCGCTGCGTGCTCAAATATGTAGCCCCGGCACACCCGTTCGAAATCAAATCAGCCACAGACCAATCGAGCCGTTCCAGCAAACCGATAAACAGCTGGCACCGCCGCCGGTGGTTTGCGATCGCCGCGCAACAGGACAAACAGTGGCGCGACCGATACGAAACTAGCGCAGCTTGTGGCTCCAGCGCCGCGGGCTACCACTCGTAATAACACCTGGCGGACTAATATAGAGCAATTTGGAAAAATTGGACAGAACACAAAAAAGCTTTTACAGCAGGATGCATGCATATTCAGTGCCTACACTGTGTTTGATGAACTAAGAAACACAGCAAGGGATGTATCCCCCAGGGATATTTCCATCACAAGATCATAAGTTCCCGGTGAATACCTAACGCACGTCGGAGGCCCTCAGCAGGTCCTACAGCCCTCCCTGGGGAGCGCACTCTACACCGCGAGCGTGTGTCGGCGCGTGCCGCCGCCAAAGCCGCTGGAACACCATCGACCGGGGGGTACTAGAGGCGGCCGCATAGTTAATCGCACTACTCGTCCGCAGCTGAGAAGTCAACATGACGGGTGTAGGGTATGAGGGATAATAATTGGTCCGTCTCGGGACAGACTATCCAGTCCTTACATTTCCTGGAGTAGTCATACTTCGCAGTCCCACTTTCTTCGTATGGCGCTGCATCCAATCACATTATAAAACCACGGCGCATCGCAATCTCTTAGCGAGCCGCGAAATGACAATAGAATAGAACACCTCGCTCGCACATTTGAGGCTCGTATAGATCATTCCCGTCAGCAGAGGACGCAAACACCATACTTCAAGGCCACCGCAGCTCCTGGCTCAACACTGCTACATCGCTATGCTGTAGCGATGTAGCTACATCATAGCGATCAACATCGCTATGATGACACTAACGGGGTGACTGAGCGGTTAGGCAGTCGCTAAAGCGGCGCTGATTGTGCAGACCGACGGCGGTCACTGGAGAACCGATCGGTTGTGGCAATGGATGATGCGCAGGAGAAGGCAAAAGGACTGTGTCGGATCCTCAGGGCGGCCACTGAGTTTTAATGCGTGCCAACTATGCCAACTACGATCATACGCTACATGCAGGCTGGATAGGATCACAACGCTGCCAGCTTAGGATGGAGTGTGGGAGTTAAATTTAGCACGAACATAGCGCGGGACGCTGTTGTTTTGGGTTGGAAGCAACGTTTTTCGCTCTGCTCTTACACAACAGGACTCGTCTAGTAGTTAGTTTACGAGCACAGGTGTAAGAACCTCGTCACCCAGTACAAAGGGACGGCGCCTGACCAACGAATGGGGCACAGGTGCCCCGTCAAATCACTGCAGGCTAGCTGGCTGTTTCAGAGAACGAAATAATAGTAATAACAATGACGCGTGACAATCGTCAGTCACTCGTAGTCAGTTACAATAGTTCTAAAATGACAGGTCATGCCGTTGGAAATATCGGTAGCATGGATGTTTTTACGAGCACAAGTTGAACCCCTGCAGGAATAAAAAAACGACCACCCTGCAGACAAAGGATGGATCGGGGTCGCACACAGCCAGATAGAAAGAGTCGGATAGACAGACACAACAAGTGGCATCAAGCTACTCGATACAGACAAAGGCTAGGTCTGGGTCATGCAGCCAGCCAGACAGAGACAGACACAGCCGCCGCCGTCACCAGACAAAGACAGAGGTAGAGCCCGGGCAAGTCGGCAGCAGCCGGCCCGTATCCTGATGGCCTCATCAGCGACCCAATCCGGCAAACGGACCCACCCGATCTCCTCAAATCAGCCGCGTCGCCCCGAGTGACCCGGCCCATCCAAAGTGGCCCCAAAGTGGCACCCATTGCCGACGGATGGAAGGCGGACGGAGACCCGTGTCGGCCGGCCATCGATCCCATCGTCCCCGGCCGCCGCCGCAGTTAGTTTATCAGACGGCAAACGTCGCCAAAGGTCAGGAGAGGCGGCACACGCGGCCGGCGCGGGCAAATGTCGGCGGTGGGTGAGAGTTGAGGTGCTGCGTCTCACCAGTTTGGCCGCCTGCGCGGTCACCACGTCCGGGTACTGGATCAGTGCCTGGAACGAGCTGTTCTTCGTGAAGGTGACGATCTTCAGCACCTTGCCGACGCGGGAGAAAATCTGAAATGAAAGAACAACGCGTCAGTCATCTGGATAAAAAGACGCACATTTAAAAGGAGGGTACACGTAAGCAATGGTACACGCACAGCAAATGGCCTCAAAATCTAAGCCCTTCTTTCTTTCCACTTCATCCATATATCATCTGTGTAGACCATCGCAACACACTACCGACGACACCTGAATAGTCCCACCATATAGCACCAAAGTGATTGTTGCAACTCCTGTCAATATTTACACAATAGCCAAGCCATCACCGCCACTAGGTCCACTCCGTTGGTATTCGTAGGCATTACGCACAGCACGGGCCCAATGCTACACAACCATATTGATAGCCAGCGGCGGCGGCCGACAATTTATTGCGTTGCTTTATGGGCAATCGCCAGGCCGTTATGGCTCTATGGATTACGTGAATCCAATTCGGCGGCCCACCCAGTGACGATTTACTGCCGATTCTGTTCTGACGCAGCCATCAAACAATTACACGCTGGTGCTGAACAGTGTGAGGCCGCCTTAATCAGCACGGTCCACACCGGGAGTCACGGAAACGATAGTCCATAGACATGTGACCGAACAGGCAGGAAGCATCTGGGATGTGCCAGTGAATAACGGGCCGATCTCGCTCAACAGACACCAGGGAGTGATGCAGCATCTGGGCGATATATACCACTGACGGCTATCAGGCGAGTCATGATCGACTGATAACATGATCGACTGATAGCATGATAACTGATAACATCAGTCGAAACATCGCCGATGGTGTGCGACACATAATCTTCGCCGTACAAATGCCTTGATGCGCGATGAGACCTCAATCGATGCCAGCGCCACTTCTCGGGAACTTTCGTAAGCATAGCTTTTAGCTGAGGCCGCCAGTGTTATGCCGGACAACCCATGTTTGGTTGGTTCAGGGTGCACTAGAAGGATAGAAGTGGTCTGAACGCATCCGTCCAGATACCTACTGGGAAAATGTATGATGATTTTAAATAAATATACTGCATTTTAGCTGCAATGCAACGAGAGAAGGCAAGAGGATCATAAGACACAAATACCAAGACAGACAGCCTTATTCGACGGGGGCATCCCCAAACTCGAAGGTAAGAACTACTGAGTGCTATCTGTGCCAACATACCACCAACTTCTTGCTAAGCCGTTCTTATCTGGGCAAACCAGGCGCAGCAATGCGACTCAAACTAACAATTTACCTCTGCAACAATGCCTGTCTCTATCAGACCTCTACAGCAGGGACCAGCTAGAGGCTCTGGGAACACATGAGGCCTTCAGGGGTCAATAGAGGTCACTTGGATCGCATTCTCTGACCATGGCGTGTGGAACTTCAATACACCGAAATAGGCTCTGTGCAGTTCAATGGCGATATGGGATCCACTAGCACACAACAAGTAGCATTGCTATACCAGTAGCGGCAGCAGCAGGGTCCCCCGCAGTGGTAGTGAGTGAGGGCGGCAGAGGCAGCGGGCACCTGATCTAATTAGGGCTCCCCTACCCCTCCTCTGGGGACGCGCAGGGCTCGGCGGCGCGCCGCGGCTCCGGCCACTCGACCCGGCATAAACCGCGCTACGACCCGCACAGGGCCCCGGCCGGCCGTCCGGCTGCGGCCGCGGCGCTCCGCCAGCCAGGAGCGCCTCTGACCACCACTCTAGCTCGCCTGAGATCGACCCCGGCCGATCCAGACGGCCGCGCGCCGCCGTTCTGCAGGTGGGCAGACTGCGAGCACACAGGTCGCCACTTTATGGAGTCGTTCGATCGCCGACCGCCGGTCGGCCGCAGACGTCGCTCCATTAGCGAATTGCCGCTGGGCCGCATGACGACCGGCTAAGCGTTTGTAAATCTTCCCGGTGCCGTACGCCGTCTTCATTTCCTGGCCAGACTCACCGCTGGAAAACGACTCAGCTGGAGCGGATCGTTAGAAGTCGGCTGTAACCCACTCCAGGTAGCCACATACGAATTACCAGCCTTTCACAAGAAGCACTTCTTTTTATTGTGACTGCAGTTTCTTTTTTAGTATCTACCACGTCGCCTTTCATACTCAGCCGCGCACTGTTGCACGCTAGCCCACAGACCCTCTGTCCCCCTCCCCAGACCCGGGAACACATGTTTACTGTCCGGTCCGCTGCCGCTGACCAGTCGGTAATTTGTTTCCCCACGACCGCGACCACCACAGCGGCTGCTGCCGTCTGCTGCGCTGCATAATTTGCCGGTAATTCAAATTGAAATCGATTCTGGGCCGGAAAAACACGAACAACTCCCCTGCGACAATTGTGGTGGCGGCGCGGCGGCGGAAAACATCCACAACTCCGTTGGCGGGGCGATAGAGGCGAAACGGTGAATAGACGACAGGGGCGGGCGCTCCCCGAGTCAAAGAAAATCGGTACGGCGCCACGCGACTCACTGAATTGCTGAGCACCCACAATAGCAAACTAAGCGTCCCGCGCACGCATTGTGCGTCGGAGCACACACCGCACGGTGGCCGCACATCCGCACGGTTTCACTCACGAAGCTAATAAGGGCCACAGTGAGGTCACTAACGAGGGCCCCTCTCAGACATTAGGCGCTCCATGTCGTCGACTTCATCGCTCATAATGTTGGCCGAACACGACAGGGTCCAATTTGGCTCCGTCGGCCGCCGTCCCACCATTGTGACCCCTTCAGGGCGCCGGCGGACGGTCGGGGACGACTCAGCGGCTCAGAGGGCTGCGATACTAGACCACTGGGTGACATGGAGGGGAACAATGTCCGCTGAATAACGCAATAGGAAATGCCGACCGATCGTGAACGTAGTTTACCTCGATGCATCACCACAGGAAGAAGTTGTATACACTTCCGAACAGGTAATACTCGAGCAAAACTACCTTATTTTTACTGGCGTCACTTCAAAAGTTAAAAATACGACCCAAAAACGGCACAGATTTCAAAGTAGGTACTGCTGAGATCTACTTCCACTAGCCTGCGCCTCTCACCTCTTCCATACTCAATCGCGGCCATCCTGATATAGCCCCTCCGAATCGATGTGACGCAGGTGCGGCGCTGCCGTCACGCCGTCACGGTGTAAGCCCGTCACGGCGTGACGGCGTCACAGTGGCCGTGGACGTACAATGGCGACCAGGCACCGCCACACCACACAACACACCGTGTCAGACACGGCACAGAACAACACAACGGTCCAGCAAGGGAGGAGGCGGGCGACACAGCGCTAGACACTGGCGTGGGACCGACGGAATTATTAAATACCACCGGAATAGACGATGTGATTTAAATTAAATTTCTCTCAGACATGCAACGCTCGTATTCGAGTTACAGGTGAATATCAAAGGTGCATTGTGCTCGCGTTGGAGCGTGGAAATTTGTATGATGAAAGCGAGCATTCATATGCTGCAAAATGCCGCTGGAGAGACAACAAACAACAATGATAGCCCCCTCGATAAGCTGATGAGTCTCAGCAGCAGCGACACTGGCAGCAGGGGCGTCCCCTGGTGACCCCATCCGTCGGGTCTGCCTCCCCGATAGCGGGAGCATCTGGTGGCCATCTGTCACCGAGCCCCTGGCCACGACACTGACTGCGGCCCCGGCCCCGGGCCCCGCGATCCGATCCGGTCCAGTGGAGCCAACAGGCCGGACGAGCCGCTCGACCGACCGGTCGGGCTGTGTATCTCCATAGATTATCTATATACTGCCCCGCCGGGTGGGGCGGTGCAGGACGAGCCTCCGCCCCTCCGCCTGGCGGTGGGCGGATCTGCATTGCTACCGCCAGACGAGTAAGACACCCGACCCCGGGTCAGCATAGTGCTGCCGTCGCGGTCACGTCAGCCAACCGCAGACTGCAGGGGTAGCGGAGGTCATCCCAACTCTGTTCCGACGGCTCCAGAGAGGGAGAGGGGCCGAGGTTGTCGGTAACGGATCGTTCCCGGACCCACCGCGGCGTGGCTAAACCTGGCGTTCGACCAGGTTTATCCCAGAATCACCCATACATCGCAGCGGCACCATCTGGACGGATCCTTATACATCCGGAGAGTGCAAACCCCGGCGGTAGGAGTCAGTCGACCGCGGGTGGGCTCAGCAGTAAACACAGTCGCTCACTGTATGACTCAGACTGACTGAATATCCAAACGGTACCGACCTCCGCCAGGCTGCCTCCTATCAACTCCGCCCACCCCGGCGGCCGGATCCGGGCCGAACAAAGGCGTCTGTTGGCATCATCGCGGCGCTCATCGTCTGTCAGTTCTCATATACGGTGGCGGGTTGTGCATACAAACAGAGCTCGGCTGGCGACAGAAGACACGCCCCCGTCCTCCGGCGGACAACCACAAACCAGAGCCGATACCGCCCTGGTGCCGCTCTGAGTCTGAACAGTCTCAACGGACCGAAATGTACCTCTTGAACGTACACAAAGAGTCAGCCAAGGACATCCCCGCTTCATGGGAGCTGAGCACGAGCATACAGTATGAGGTTGATAAGCCGAACAGGAACTCATCCCAAGCAGCCTATGCTTGAAGAAATACGTCACTTAGCAGTTTAGCACCTTGTGATGCCAGCTATGTACTGAACGGCTTTCGATCCAAGTCTGATAACAACTCCACCTCACTTCCTCATCCTCTTCACTATCGACCACAACCTCAGAAGCATCCCCTTCTTACCAACCAAAGCCATCCCCATCCACTCCCATTTTCCACCAACGCAAACCCATATTACCCCCCCCCCCACAAAGCATCCCCCTCTCTCTCCTATTTTCTCTCACCTGTTGAAGCACATCTAGTGTGACCGGGTAGACCATGTGCTCGATGATGACCCGCAGCACCGTGTTGGGTCCACCCTGGGTGTCACCGCCCGTCATAGACTGCGCCGCCTGCAGGGCCGCCTGGGCTGACGCGTTCTGTGCAGGCACACGAGGGTTAGAGTTAGAATGGGCTTATATGGCTTGAGAACACGGGTTGGGAGGGTTGAATAAAATCAGGCACATGGGACTCGCAGATTTGGGATGTCACAGGCTAGTGCAGCCATCAAAATGCTTCATTACCGGTCCACAGGCGAAAGCAAGACTAATATCTGAAAATTCCTCGACGATCAATTCTAAAATGAAAGCGCAAAGTGCTGAAAGACGTTGAGCACATGAATATAGGTACACAAACACACAAGTTTCAACTTTCAAAAGGCTTAACGGTGACCACATTCGACAAACAACGCGCACTTATCACACATACACATTGTAGAATCAATAACCGTCCCATCAAATGTTCGTTAACGGGCTAGCGCCGGACAGCGGCGAGACGGTCCTCCGAATAGCCGCGCCGCCGCCCGGGGCGGCCCCGCCGGCGGCGCGGCCCTCTCGGACGGGACGGGAGGGGACGGGAGACGCTTCCCCAGTGCGTGGGCGCTCGGTGCGCGCGGCGGAGGTGCGGCGCCGAGAGGAGCGTGCGTCGGGTTCGATTTTTTGTGGTGTCTGCCTCCGTGGGATAAGCACGCCGCTACGTTCCTGCGATCTACATCGGCACCGGTGACGTACCCTCTGGCCATGTATATGGCGGCACCCTGCAGTGTCATAAGTGTTTGTCTCCGTCTCTCTGGCCTCTGTAGCCGCCTCGCCCATGGGGCACACTGTCGGAGGCCGAGACGCGACGTGCTCCTAAGCAGTGAAGGTCAGTTATCCCCGGTAAATACCTCTCAGATGGGCGTCGTGCGTGGCGAGAGCTCGCCGTCTCCATGGGCGTGTGTCTCGCGCTTGACGTCGCGCAGAAGAGTCTACCAGCGAGAGGAGATTGGAGAGCGAAGTGCCGCGTTAAGCAGTTCCCTTCTGTGCAGTATCTGCCTGTGCTGTTTAACGATGGAGCACGCCGCCTTAGGATACGCCATCACCGGTAAGATATCACCGGCGCACGCGACTACCTGTCCGTCGTTTAGGCCACCACCGCGGCCCAGGCGGCCCCTCTGAGCGCTGATCGCTCCACGCACTGACCGGCCCCTCTGAGCGCTGATCGCTCCACGCACTGACTGGCCCCTCTGAGCGCTGATCGCTCCACGCACTGACCGGCCCCTCTGAGCGCTGATCGCTCCACGCACTGACCGGCCCCTCTGAGCGCTGATCGCTCCACGCACTGACCGGCCCCTGAGCGCTGATCGCTCCACGCACTGACCGGCCCCTCTGAGCGCTGATCGCTCCACGCACTGACCGGCCCCTCTGAGCGCTGATCGCTCCACGCACTGACCGGCCCCTCTGAGCGCTGGTCGCTCCATGCACTGATCACCGGCCCCTCTGAGCGCTGATCGCTCCACACGCTGACAGACCGTACTTATTCGAGTAGCCGCTGACTGGCCCCTCTGAGCGCTGATCGCTCCACGCACTGACCGGCCCCTCTGAGCGCTGATCGCTCCACGCACTGACCGTCCCCGCTGAGCGCTGATCGCTCCACGCACTGACCGGCCCCTCCCTCTGAGCGCTGATCGCTCTACGCACTGACCGGCCCCTCTGAGCGCTGATCGCTCCACGCACTGACCGGCCCCTCTGAGCGCTGATCGCTCCACGCACTGACCGGCTCCTCTGAGCGCTGATCGCTCCACGCACGACTGCTCCTCGCCTAATTGGTCTGCACGCTCACAGACAGCCGCTGAACGGCCCGCTTCAACCCTGACGCCCCCCCCTCCCCAATTGGTCTGCACGCTCACAGACAGCCGCTGAACGGCCCGCTGGAGCGCTGACGGCTCCCCGCCTAATGGTCTGCACGCTCACAGACAGCCGCTGAACGGCCCGCTTCAACCCTGACGGCCCCCCCCCCCCGCCTAATTGGTCTGCACGCTCACAGACAGCCGCTGAACGGCCCGCTTCAACACTGACGCCCCCCCTCCCCCCGCCTAATTGGTCTGCACGCTCACAGACAGCCGCTGAACGGCCCGCTGGAGCGCTGACGGCTCCCCGCCTAATGTTCTGCACGCTCACAGACAGCCGCTGAACGGCCCGCTTCAACCCTGACGGCCCCCCGCCTAATTGGTCTGCACGCTCACAGACAGCCGCTGAACGGCCCGCTTCAACCCTGACGGCTCCCCGCCTAATTGGTCTGCACGCTCACAGACAGCCGCTGAACGGCCCGCTTCAACCCTGACGCCCCCCCCCCCCCCGCCAATTGGTCTGCACGTTCACAGACAGCCGCTGAACGGCCCGCTTCAGCCCTGACGGCCCCCCGCCTAATTGGTCTGCACGCTCACAGACAGCCGCTGAACGGCCCGCTTCAACCCTGACGCCCCCCCCCCCCCCCGCCTAATTGGTCTCCACGCTCACAGACAGCCGCTGAACGGCCCGCCGGAGCGCTGACGGCTCCCCGCCTAATGGTCTGCACGCTCACACCGACGCGCGCGCACGCATGAATCGCTGACTGGCCCTATATGGCGCGATTGGCAGCCCGTCTGCACGAATGGAACTCTGACCCGTCCCATAGCATTGTCGGCTCACATACACTGGTAAACAGCGATACGCACGAATGGATCGAACGCACGCTGACCACCGCATGCGACCACGTACGGCCCGTACGCATCAGGTGACCGCGCGTACGCTAACCACGTGGCCTGGCCCAGCAGTCCTGACGTCACACCGCCCGCAAAGAACGGGGTCACGGGGTCGAACGGCGGTGGGCGAACGTGTGGTGCGGTTGACACCTGACCGTCCATTGGTTACTTTTCCCGCCCGACTGGTGTTTGACCGTGGGTTGTTTTCGCGCTCTCCCCACCGGTCACCCTAGCGTTATCGTACCCATAATACCGCTGGTGACGTTCCCGGCGAGGCCGCCATGTCGCCAACGCCCCCCCCCCCCCCGATACTGGCGTCTCAGTGGACCTCAGCGCCTCCATCCCACTCACAGGACTGCAAACAACGCCCCTAACTGACGGTCTGTTATCCTGGCCTACAGGACTCCGACCGCTCACCCCAACGGCGCAGAGCGCGATAGTTGGCCCCTGGGCAGACGTGACAGGCCCGCTACCCCCTACAGCAATGCCCGCCCACCAGACGACCACCGGAGCTGACGCGCCGGCGGGCCCCCAGCCGGCCCCGGTACATACCAGCAACAACACGGGCCCACGGAGCCGGAGACCCACCGGCTTGCCCTGTGCCGACCGGCGACGGCCGGCGCCGCGGCCCCGCCCTCATGGGGAGGCGCGGCACACACACCCGCCTACCCGGCGCTTGGAGGCGCGCCCAACTGGCCGGCGCGGCGGCCGGAGGCGCGTCCAACTGGCCGGTGCCCGGGGGCGCGTACGAGTACCGACGCTCAGCCGGCGAGACTAGTGAAAGCGCAGCCGCGGCAGGACTAAAGGCACGCGAGCGAGGGGTGGCGGCGGACCGCGCACAAGACCACCAGCAGCTACCGGTAGTGTCCTACGCGCAGCCGCCGGTACCCGCCCTCCAGCTAGCCGGGGTCAGCACCAAGGCCGCCCAGGACCTCCGCCACCGAGGCCGCTACGTCGCGGTCGACGACTCGGGGGATGAAGTAGGGGGCCCGCTGGCGACCACCGCCCACTATTTGGCCCGGGTAGCCGAACTGCTGGCTCACGGAGCCTGCCATTTCCCGGCGGCGGGGCTCCAGCTGACAAGTTACATGGCGTGGCTGCTGCGTACTTACGCCAACCGGCCCCTCGCCGAAACTCGGGCCGCCGACGCCAAAGCACAAGAGGCCATGGCGGCAAATCCGAGTGTTCTGCACACAGCTCTCGACTGGGACGTGCTGTGCCGGCCTGGCATAACACCAATCAGCCTTAGTGTGGAGACCAGGAATCCTCAGCGGATAATCATCTGCCAGACTTCCTGGCCGGTCGCTACTTTCATGCCAATTCATTAACTTTTTTTTGAAGGTGGGAGGGTCCCAATTGACCCGTTCCAACGCACACCCCCGCCGGTCGGGAGCACGCTGACGTTCCATCGTGGCTGCCGACCCAGGTGTAAATGCATCCCGCTGGCAGGTAATTGCGTTAAAGACCCACTCCGCGTGTGTCCATTGTAAGACGACACCCACCCGCGCTCTCCGGCTCCGACAGCGGACAGCGCAGTTCCCCTCCCCTCCCCCATTGCCGACCTCACGTTATCGGGACCAACAGCAAACACGCGCACCCCCACCCGCGCACCACCAGCTGATAGTGCTCATGGCACGGGGAGACGAGCCCGGCTCTGGCAGCCGCAATTGGCCAGGAGAATGGCGAAAGGGGCCCTGACATGATGTCGGTTCAGGTCGACCCGGGATCTGACGTAACCACACCGCTGACCGGTGCTCGCGCTGATGTCACATTGCGTCTGGCGAGCGCAGGGACAGCTCGTGATTTGATATCATACCACAGCCGCTCGGTATGACCCTGATATGGCGCCGACGCCAACTGATTCGGACTCTGACATTACAATACCGCCGACCGGTGCTCCCACTGACGTTATATTGCGTCTAACGACCACAGAATGATCTGTAACCCGATTCATAGCACAGACGCTCGGTATGGCCCCTGATTGGTATGACGACCGTATGTATGGCTTGGTATGACGAGCCAGCGCAGGTTAAAATCGGATGCTGACGCCACACCACTGCCAATCTACCGTTTGACCGCACACCGAGCTCAGCTGGCTCGGCTCGGGCACCGGACGGCGTAGTCTCCCTCCCCATTACTGCCCTCATATTGTCGGGGCCAACAGCAAACACGCGCTCTCCGGCCCAGCCGCAGTCTGCCGGAGGAGACAGCACAGTGCTGACCGCCCGAGACGCCACCTTCCCCACCAGTGGACCGTTGTTTGTGCTACGGGGCGCCCGCCCTCACCCGGCTGTGTTTGAATAGCACACTGCGGGCAACTATCGGCTCAGATTCGACATTCGACAACCACAGCCTCCGCGACGGGCCCAGTATGAGCCGCGACGCCCTTATCTCCCCTGTGCGCGCCCCCGCCCTCCACTGGGCGCTGACAAACTCCAACCAAGTGACAGAGGTGAGTCGACGCCCATTCTCCTAGTGTGTTATCAGTGCTGTTTGCCAACCAACCCTGCCTCCTGCCTGGCGTCTCGTGGCCGCGGCCTGGCCTGCCTGAGCAGGCCACTTAACGCCGCGTCCCTCCTGGAGCACCGATCACTATAATAACATTCTGTCCTGTCGGGTGTGATTGGCGTAAGGAATGGAGGAATGGACATAACGTGAGAGGGACGGCCGGCCGATCATCAGCCAATGTAACGTTCGAGCAGAGTCTGTGCGGCGCTATAGTTAACGGAAGATAACGTTGTTATATGTTCGTTAACGGGCTAGCGCCGGACAGCGGCGAGACGGTCCTCCGAATAGCCGCGCCGCCGCCCGGGGCGGCCCCGCCGGCGGCGCGGCCCTCTCGGACGGGACGGGAGGGGACGGGAGACGCTTCCCCAGTGCGTGGGCGCTCGGTGCGCGCGGCGGAGGTGCGGCGCCGAGAGGAGCGTGCGTCGGGTTCGATTTTTTTTTCTTTCTTTTTCAGCTCGTCGACCGTCCCTCTCACATCGCGTAAGGAATGGAGGAATGGACATAACGTGAGAGGGACGGCCGGCCGATCATCGCGTCCCACATCGCCCGCACACATTTCCACCCCGACAACACAGGTCCACTAACACAAATCTACGGCCCCGCCAAAGGCCACCACAAAGACATCCACTCCGGCCAAACCCGGCTCCGTCGAATCGCGGCCCCCACCACGACCGCCGGCGCCGGGCGGCGGCCTAATCAAGTCACAGAGTCGGGGCGTCGCGGTGCCGCGCTAACCCACCACCGATAACCGGGTTAGGGCGCCGCGGCCGCGACACATGGCCGTCTGAGGCGTGCCCCGACCACCCGGCCACCAGGGCTGATTCAATCCCGCTCAATCACGGCCACCGCGCAGTGCTGGGTGCGGCTGGGCCGGTCACGGGGGCCAATCGCGGACGAGGAAGGGTGAGGGTTCAGGAGTCAGGCGGGGTGAGCTTCTGAGGATGAGGGATTTGGCGACAAGTATATATGCATCCAGTTGTCAGATAACGTTCTTTAGGAGTGATTTGTGGTGTTGTAAGGGATAAATCATTAGCTGAGAACCAGGATATTAGATGCCAGATGACACAGTGAAGCAGGTTAAAAATACCAACAAACAACACGGTGCGATTAGCATGGGACGACACTCACATTTAACAGCTTCTGCCACTATCACGCAACCAATGCCTCTCCCTTATCAGCCTTCAGAGCACTATCTCTCCAGTCCTTGGCCTCCCCTTTACCACATCAAACTCACCATACGGCACTACCCGATATCTCTCGGTGCCTCCGCGGTCCCCTCACCTACCTTCCGCTCACCACCAGTTTCACCAGACTCCGACCCACTACTGTGCCACTACTACCGTCCATCTGCTACTACCCACAGGCACCAGGTAGTGCGCCAGCAGCGGCGGCGCCGCGTGGAATCCCGGCCAGCCGGGCAGTCCACTCACAGCATTCGAGTGCGTCTGGTCCGTCTTCAGCTCCTTGTGGTTGGAGAACTGGACGTAGACGGAGCGGCCGCGCAGCTGGGCGGTACCGTTGGCGAAGTAGGCCACCATCTGAGTGGCGGCCACCTCGTCCGCCATCTCGAGGAACGCCTGAGGGCACACGGGGGGTGTAGGGGTCAGACGAGGTCACGGAGGGGGTCATGGTGGGGTCACGGTGGGGTCATGTGGTGTCACGCGTAGCTGGGGTGGTCAGTGAGACACCAGGCATAGACCAGGCGATGGCACTGCGAGTTAGAATATCGGTAAACGGCGCACAGGCACAACACTTATTTGAAAACAAAGAAGTGACTGAAATGACAGCAGTGGAACATATCCTTTGTCGGTTCCCGGATGCCTTCGTGAAGCTTTCGAAATATGAATAAATCTCTACAAGGGAAATGTAATCACAAAGCTTCATTCAAGCACATTTCCTCCTGATAAGACTAGTGCACACAATCTCGCCTTTCATCCGGGAGCTCTCTGTATCAGAAGGGCGCCATACTTCAGAGAGCAGTTTGTTTTTATGCCACCGTTGGCCGCCAATCTCCAGCGTCCCGGTTCATATTGACCGAGCGAGTCAGATTTCCCAGATGACCAGATGTGCCGTAACCCTGCCAGCCGCCCATCGAATCTGTTTTCCGATTTACCGGGATAGCGTAATCCACTGCCGACCGGCCCGCTCCTACTGTGCGGAATGTTGTCTACAAAGTGAACACCAAAATTGCAAGGGACTTCAAGTGTTGACAGGACACGCTAGACAGAAGAGAGCATCAGACAGCGCAATACAGAATGGCTATACAAGACACCAAGACGTTAACACCAAAAGACAGCAGGAGACAGCGGCAGCAGCGATAACGACAACAAACGAGGCGACCTCAATGGGTGCACAGCACAATCGGCAGACAGACGCCGCCCGCGCACGCTATAGAGCGGCGTTCATCACTGGCACAGACAGCGACAGCCGCAGTCCAAACAGCGCCGCGAAAGGTCGCTGCACAAGGCGGCCAGCGCAGCGTCAGTAGGCAGCACAGCACCGGCAGGGCACTACGATAATCAACAGGTCACCGCAGAGACATTTCAATAAAGTGGCGCGGAGCGCTGCGGAGGCCAACTCGAGACACCGGAGCGGCCCAAATGCGCCCGCCGGCCGGGAGACGAGCGTCGGTGTGTGAATGTTTCAGCAGGTCGCCGGCCGGCTGGGGAGCACGCTGCCGCTAAACGGCCGTTCCGAGACGGCAGGAGCGCGCTCGGCCTCAAACATTTAGCACCGCGGCCGAGCCCGCGACCACCAAACTGCCTGCCATCCGGCCCAAACGAGCGGCGGCCAAGTTACGCGCCGCGCCAGTATTTGCCTTCCAATTCGAGCGCAGCCCGCCCTCAGCGCCAAGTTCGCTGACTGTCAACAATGCAGCTGTTTTACCGAGCAGAAAAAAAGCCGCAACCAGTCTCCGCGCTGCCAACGCAAATATGTGCCTTTCGCCGCAACAGACATGTGACTGGCACGTAAATCACCAATCTGAATTCCAAAACCATTGAATGAAATTATCTCTCAAGTCTCAACATATGTAACTTCTTAGTCAGAATTCATATAAATAACATCGCGTCATACAGCTATACGCAGTACACACGTCATCGACACCCTACCACGCCCATCGTCGCCATCGTCGGGGGCGCGAGCCGTCCCCCAGGTAAACATTCTTGCCCTGCGCTGCCGGCGCCTCCCATCCTCCCCTGTTTATCTCGGGCATAAACGATAGCTACTGCTCTGGCGTCACTGTTTATGGGATCAGACGGAGACGCGCCATCCCCGGGCCGCCGAGCTCACAAAGGGATGCTGCAGAACGGGCGGGCTTCTCAGAGCTCCCCCACCTTCAGCGGCACGCCCGATCCCTGGGAGAGATAAAGACAGCAGCGGCCACGGCGCTCACAGTCTAGCTGGTGGTAAACCAAGAGACTGGGTGAGTGATGTGAGGCGAGGTGTCGAAGGAAGAGTCACAGACTCGTATCATCACTTGTCATCCGGGTATCAACAGCAGACAGTGGTGCGATGGGAACGATTTGGCGTGGGGAGGTCTTCTTTCCATCTCCCACACCGCGATGGCCGAACGACAGCGAAAAACGATGTCCATGTCACAGCGTTCACATTCGAACCGGCCCGCAGCCCACTGCCCACCGGTATAGCTATCAGATCGGCACAACCCGAGAGTCGCCTGGCAGAATAGAGATATCCAGCGGCAGGGTCGGTCACCTGCCGCTCGTAAAGGAAGCTGTATTTTCTCCGTCAACACCTGTCTCAATCGCCTGAGGTATTTGCGTCGCTCATTCTTTTCTCGACGGGTAAACAAGCTCATCGGGCTTCAGGTCCGTCCGGGGCGCCGTTGACAAATTGAAAAAGTTAACAAGCGGCACACACTAACCCACGGGAATTGGGCAATATTGCGAACATCACCGACGGGCTCCGTCCAGTGTCCCTGTCAACGCTAGCGTCAGCGTCAGCGGCGGCGGCGGCGGCGGCGGCGGCGGGGCCGACCACGCCCTGGGCCCGCCGCCCGACACCGGCCGGTGACCATATGGTGGCGAGACACCCGGCCCCGGCCCCGGTCCCGGCTACGGCAGCCGACAGATTCCCACGAAGACGGCTGATCTCGCGCCGGCGTCATCCCGTCTGATGGCTCTATGATGACGGTGCCGGCGCGGCGATGACGCTGATGGCGCGATGATGACGTGCTGATGAGGCCCGTCGCGCCGAGCGCGGCCATCCGTCGCCGCCAGCCGTCCGGAAATGGCGTCCGGGCCGCCTCAGCTCAGCCGGCTTCCCGGTTGTCATCACGACACCGCGCCTCCGGAACGAGCAGCCATCCAACTCTGTCTACGCCTGAACCCTGTGTCCTGCTCCTCATTCTCCGAGGCTCTCGGCTCGCTCCATCTCCTTCCATCCACGGCTGTCTGGCGGCATGTAGCTGCTTATCCACAGTCTCACTTCATATTCCTCCACATTTTATCACCGCTCTTCGCTCCTCCCACTCTCTCTCCACTCCCTGCTCTCTCCGCTGCGCCAGGCGGCCGGTATTTACCGTCTGTCCCGAAATACCTGTCGGCCACGGCCACCAGGTGGCAGGTCGAGCGCCGGTACCGGCGGGCGGGCGCCGGGTGGAGCGGGGCGGGGGCGGGGGCGGGGGCGGCGGCACAGCAGCAGACCGACCGTCTCCGGGGCCTCCGGCGTCCAGCGGCGACGGACCGTCAGCGCTGACGGGCCGTCAGCGGCGCCTGGCACCCCTCACCTGTCAAAACATCCGTCCGGCCGGCAGACGGCCTCCAGAAAAGACCCCGTCGGCGGCGCGAACGCGCTGTCGCCTGTCGGGGCCGGCGAGTCCAGGAACCCGGCTCAAATCAGTCCCAGCTCGTCCGACCTCCCCTGCCCACCCCCTGGGCACGCCTCAAGGCAGTAAGTTTCGCGGCGCCGCGGCTGTCCAGCTGACATCCGACGCAGCCGCCGGCTTTGTCGCGCGACAGCTCCGACGCTCGCCCATCTCGCAGCTGAGCCCCGGACAGTCCCCTGCGGCTGCTCGACACATCCCCGCAGCGACGCAGCCCGTCGCAAAGTCGGCAACGGCCCGGCGATTAACGAGCACACGCTAACGACGACGCTGGCAAGCGCTTCGTCGACCGACAACGATGAGCGGACACCGCCGAAAAATCGCCGAGTTATGGACAGGCTTATAATTGGGCTCGTCGCTGCGCTCCAGTCGACGGTTCCACAGCGAAAGCCTTACATCCTGCGTCAGGTGACGCTCCCGTCGTTTGCGACGAACTGGTGGGCCGCAAACAGCGCACCGCCGTCGTCAGGTGGGATCGATGGATCCGGCGCCGTCGCCGCGGGCTGCGGCAGTAATCAGACGGCAAATTAGCGCTCTCCGGTCCCCGGCGGCCCTCGTTTGTTCCAGACGTGATTCTGACAGGCTCTGCTTGCCTCAGACCAATCCCTGGGTGATGTCGTTTTGATCCTGCGTCGCATATGAGACGGATTCGTGGGTACGCATGGCACGGCGCCATATATTTGGCTAAGTTTGCGTTACATTATCTCTCCGTCTCGGTGGGACGGATCTCTGGGCTTCCGTTCCTCGTCGGTGGCGGGCGGCCTGTGCCCGCCGGCGGCGCTCGTATCTCAGCCGACTGAGCGCTGCAGATTTCCGACAGATTCCGGCCGATTCCGGGGTCGCCGCAGGCCGCTCCGGGCCGGCCCGGGATGGCTCCCGGAAGATCCAGCCTGATTTAGCACGGGACGCACCTGGACCTGGAGCGGTGGCTAGGCCCGACCAATCAGCTCCGGATTACGGGCGCCTGCCGCCATGGCTGCCGCAGCGGCAGCAGCAGCAGCCCGTTTCAATCAAGCGACGACCCGAGTGAATCGGTCTGGCGCACGGCTCGCGTCGGCTTTGTCGCCGCCGACGAGCCGGTTCCAGGAACACCCTGTGCAGCGCCGAGCCTGGTGGCGTCGAGCGTGACGTGACGAGTCTGTCCGCACGTCAGCTAACGTCAGCCGACGTCACAGGACGTCAGCGCACGTCACTGCTAGCAGGGCTCCCGGGTCGGACTGCAGGGCGTGGGCCCCGCCAGCGTTTTACAAGCCTTTAACGAACGCGTCTCGGCGAACCGGCCAGCTGACACGTGATAGGAGAGCTAATTATTAGTTCCAGGAACGGCCAACTTTTGACTCCGCTGGATGGAGTTTTCATGCATTTATGCAGCTTGTTAAGATGCGACCGAAGGCGCGTTCAGCCAGCCGTTTAAATCCATTTCGACAAAACTCGACGACGCCTGTTCCACTGTGCGCCGGAGCGGAATCGACGAAGGTTGGTGATAGGGGAAAAACTCGCGTAAACCACCGCCGGATTAACGCTGGAGCGCAAATCCGGTCCGATGAATGGCTGAACATAATCTGAACGGGTTCAGTTCTACTCCAACGGAGGCATGTCGGACGATAAGAAACAAACCGTAAGGCATCCACTGAGTATCTAGTCGAACAATGTAGAGCACGAGCCATGATTCATGAAACTGCTAAGCCCACGGGTGCTGCAGCTCACTACAGCTAGAGTGACCTTTCCACCAGTCTCATCATAAATAGCACTGCCTGTCAGAGACGACCTTCCGCGTTGACAGAAGGAAGCCGTTTCGCCCAGGCCGCGCCGGCCCTACCCCACCACACGTCCGTGCTATATGAGCAGCGGCCGGCCGCCCCCGCTGACATCTATCTGACAGAGCGGGTCGTCCAAAAACACCGCACACCCGGGAATGTCACCCAGTGACAGCAGCGGCGGTAGCGGCATCGATGACAGACGTGGCTTGGTGACGGTTCATGGTGATAGGACAGTCGAGCCATCACGAAATGACAGCTCTCATGGCAGGTCTATTGGAATAGCCCAATGTGACGAACAAACCGACAAATACCTCAAGCTGTTACCAACGGGCGTCCCGACGCTCAATCCATCTTCCTCCCGGCGTAGGACCGCTCTCAGGGAGGACCGGCTAAATCCCCGGGACTGAGCCGGGCGGGTGAAGAGGGTCCGACCGTGCCCGGATCAGACGCGTCCACAGTCGGCTCGCGGCCTAATCCGCCGGCCGAGAAATGAGAGGCCGCAGAGCTCAGAAAACCGCCGCCGGCGACGGGAAATGACGCGCCACCGGCGTGAAATGACGCGCCGGCGGCGTTTTTGAACCTCCTCTGTTCGCCGGTCCGTCTCAGGACAGCCGACTTCAGAGTGGACTTCAGGGGGATTTGGCGAGATCGGAGTCCGTTCTGATGGAATTGATTCGGCGCTACAGCTGTAAAACATAGAGCCGCTAATGTAAAAACTCGGGGAGATCGAACAAAGAGGAGGCCTACTCTTTCATCCAAACCCATCTACCCTATCCTCTTCCTTCTTTGTGCTCTTCCGTCCGTTCAGAGACCACTTTCAGACCAATCCGTGACCCAACCGACCCTCCATCCTCACAGTCACGTCTCTGAACCTCTGTGGCCCGTCGGTCGTCGTTCCCCCCCCCCCCCGAGTCTCCCCGGCGGACGTGACGGCGACAGGCACGCCAGGTCAGGGGTCAGGGGTCGGCCGGCCAGAGGTCACGGCCCGGAGCTGGGGCTGCCTCCCGCCGCTCAGATGGATGATAACCGCGACCTTTACCACCGCCCGCCGCCGCCCGTGAGGCGAGCTGAATCGCAACTCATGCTCCTACGAACAAGCGACGCTTTCGTCTCCCACCCACACATCTCATCGGAAGGGACCAGACAGGTAAAAACAGGCACATTTCCTGGTAAAACCCCCTCTTCATCTCCTTTCCGGCGTCTCCATCCCGTCTCCGCTCGGGTTCTCCCGTGTATGCGTCTCCAGCCGGGCAGCGCGGCTAACACCCACTCCATCCAGCTCAGACGGGCGAACAAAAACATTCCAGCGGGCCGGCGTCGGCGCAAACATCCCGCCGCCTCCCCGGGGAAGCGGCCCGGCTCCGCCCTCCTCCCAGGGCGAGGGCGGGGGCGGGGGCGGCCTCTCAGACGCCGGGCGGCCACTCAGGTGTGCTGGCGGCGGCGGCGGCGGCGGCGGCGGCGGGCAGTGCCTCCTCACAAAGAGGAAAGCACCAACCGTGACCATCCGGTCTCGGCGCGACAGATGGCCGAGGGATGGAGCGGCCGGCTGCCGGACGACGGGCAGAGGCGGTTGTGGTGGACACTGACACAGCCAGCAGACGGTGGAAAATAGATAGACGAGGGCAGCAGACCGGAAAGCGTGCTGGAATGTTACTGGACTGCAAGTCTGGACCATCAGCTTGGGTTCAGTAGACGCTGAGCATGCCGAGCAGTGCTGAAGCTGCTGATGTTGAGGAACTGAAACCAGCGTCATACGATGCATGCGTTTCCTAAGCCTTTATAGACAATTATTCAATAAAGTGGGCGCATCGGATGTAGACCAAGCAGCGCGAGTCAATGTAAGCACCTTAGCATCTCAGGAGTTGTATTGAACGATACCTTCATACCCACATCCAATCGTTTTCTCGCCGTACCCAAATCTGCTGACCACGAACTTCACCACTTCGTTCCCACCTCCCACACCCCAACAAAAGTCACGTTTCTACCTAACTCGCCACATTACATAACAGCTCGCAGCCGAAGGCCACACGCCCTCCCGTTCATGGCACCGTCAAACCGTGCCGTGCCGTGCCGCCCCGCGGGCCGCAGCCGATCCGCAGACGACCTTGCAGGCCCCACGGCGACGCCCGAGGTCCGAGCAGACTCTCACCTGGTTTTTGCCCTTGAGGACGAGCACGTTGGTGACCTTGCCGAAGGGGATGCCGAGGTGGATGACCTCCGTCTCGCTGACATCGGTCGGGATGTTGCGGATGTGCACCACGCGGCTGGGCTTGCTGTCCAGCTTCACCTGGTGACACACAGGGGAGCGGGCGAGGTCAGTCAGAGGGCACAGACGACATGGAGCGAGTCGGCAGAAAAGTGTGCACATTTACACAATAGTTACACACACAGACATCATTGAAATGCTTCAAACCGGAGCAACTGATACATCTATCTCTAGCTCACGAGCGGAGCCAGCTATAGGCAAAAATATAAGAAGTACAACGGTATTGAATGGCAACACTGAAAGCGAGAAAAAAACTTTTATCAACCTTAATGACAGACACCCCGCATAGAGACATAAGTAAAAAGCACAGAATAATGGCCGTCACTGGGGCTAATTTCGGACCTGAATCGTATCGGGTGTAATAAATCATTGTCAGAATATTCGTGCACATCTGATTTGGTAGCGCAAGGAACACCAGAAAGACCGGTTCATAATTATCGGCCTACTGGAGCGTATATAATGTAATGATAAGCGATTGCAGAGACGGTCAATTCCGGCGCTAGAGTAGTCACTCGGATCGAACACGGTCAGCCAACTCAAGTTTCTCACGAGTTGGCCGTTTATTCTGAAATAAAGACAGCTGACGGCGAGGCCACACCGATATAAATCGCCCAGTTATGGGCTATGAACTACAGCGCTCCCAAATGGCACAAAGAATCGACAAAGTCAGAAGTTGTGCTCAAAATGGCCTCCCCGTCCGCGAACAAAGTGAGACTGAGCCCGATGCCGGCCGTCGTAAAACCCACACGGCCGGGGATACGACAGAGTTCAACTGGTCGAAATAGGCCCGGCAACAGACCGCACGCGCACAGGAATGCGCCCTTGAGTCGGACTTGGCTGAGAAGCCGGCCGCTCCTCCACAGCCACACCGCCGCGGAGTCGGGGAGGGGCCGCTCCTAGCAGTGACACAGGGTCGTTTCTCCTCACCACCGTCTGAGGCCTGTCCAGATCAGCCCAATAAATCGCCGATGGACTAAGGGCAGCGCCATAAAGCCGATTCAACCAACCGCGGAAGTTATGAATTCATGTGAAGCAAAAAAGCGGACGAGACTTTTTACGGAAAGTCACCGAGCGAACTGACCCATAACTCATCAATAAAAAGCATTAAGTGCTGTGTTTTTCTTATGGGAGTTTGCATGACAGTAGGATCGTTGATTGTGTTTTATGAAGCGGACCAGTCGGAGCTTTGTCTGGAACGGCGATGGAGCTGATGACCCCACCGACAGGCCGTGACCCGTCACGACCCAACTTATCCGTCACGGCGCGGCTCGGCTGCCCCGCCGCGACTCGCGACTGAGCAAACGCCAGCCGAGTGCGGCCGGCGGGGGCGGGGGCGGCGCTGGAGTGAGTCACGTCTCGCCGCCCCGACTCTCCTTGAACCTGGCTTGGCGTGGGCGACCAGCCAGCCGCCGCCGTCACTCGGCGGCCGCCATGGCACCACGAGTCTCCTCACTCCGCCGCCGTCCAGTCGCCGTCCCGCGGCCGGTTAGCATACCACCAGAGCGGACGGTGTGACGGGCGAGACAGAGAGGTCGTGTCGCGCCGAGCGGCATCGGCACCCACTCACTGTCACGGCCGAGCACCGGCGGATCGCCCGGACGGCCCGCCGGGCCCGGCCCGAGCGGCGCATCTTCAGAGGCGCCCCGGCAGATCGAGTGCGAGACAAGAGCCAACGATAACAGACGCGACAATCGTCCGCGTCGGAAAATAATCTTACACGTGTCCAAAAACAATACGCTGTCGTGAATAGTACGCCATCAGCGATGGGCGTTGCAGGCTGCTACCGATGTGACGGCTGACATCCCGCGGCGGGCTGTGAGAGGGCGGGCTGTGAGAGGACGGGCGAGGAGGGGGCGCTGACAGGACAGACGTTCGCACACAAGGTAGGCAGGTGGATGGACGTGGTGTAGCTGCTGGCACCGTCAGTGTCAGTGTGAAGGTCAGGGGATGGTTGCCAAGGGTTTCCAGACAGATTTCTGGCCAGGGCCGGGCGTCGGGTAATGGAGAGGGAGTGGCAATCCTGAACAATGCTACACAACTAGCCAGAAAGTGACCTTCACATAACACGACGCCCTCCCATTCGCTACAGTTTTCTCACGACCGCCTCCACACAGCCATCCATTTCGCTCCCATGTCAGACCGTCTGGCCATTCTGGTGCCGCTGCGGCTCCCACCGCTGCGTCTCGCGCCCATCGCTGGTCAGCCATAACGTGGGCCTTCCCACGAGCGGCCGGCGCCGGGCCGCCTCGGGGCGAGTATGCCCTCGTCAGCCGATGCAACAGCCTCCTATAGCGGGAGGGCGGCTCGTCTGCCGTGCGGCGCGTTGCTGGGCGGACCGCCGCCGCGCCGCCGCCTCGCAGCAGAGGTCCGCAGACAAAAACGAGGCGGCGGCCGGCGGCGCGGCCAAAAACGCACCGCACCGCAGACACGCACGAACCACGGCAAAAACGCGCGGCGGTTCGCCGGCACGCCGCCCAGCTCCGGAAGGATGGGCTCTGGCAGTGCCGCGATGCCGCCCGGCCCACAGAACGGCCATCACCGGCGGCCGCGCCCTCGCCGGCGGTCGAGGTCAAACTGCTCAGACGTTTGTGAACGCCGGAAACCGGACAAAAACGGAGAGCCGGCGCCACCGAGGCTTTCATGGGCTGGCCGCGAGGCTAGCTGGGAGCCCGGCAGACGGCGACGGCAGCACACTGCCATTGAAAGAGGTGATGAGTTTTCCACGGCCAACCGACTGCACGATTTATTTTACACTTTTTCGTGGTCGGTCGAGCCACGAATCCTGTTTGGAAGCCAGCGCTTTGAGGTCATCGTTTTATGATCTCATGTATCACGAAATTCTCGGAGCTGAGCATAATCGTGCATGCAAGGACAGCGACTAAACATGTGTACTCCACATAGCAAAGAAATGTTGTGGTACGAGTCTTCAGACTCGTAGATCTACAAGTATTCTACAGTTTATTCCCAGTTCTAGAAACGACAAACAAAGGTTGATTTCTCATCAAATCATCTACTACCTACACGGCTTATAGTTGGGACCCCGATCAGACGACATTTCCAAGTGTCCGACGACCCCATTCGTCCCGGGGCGGTAGCGAGCGAGCGCTCCAAATCCCTTGATCCCGCGTCTGAAGACAACAGAATCGACATCCGCCAGTATCCCAGGGGCGTCCAATCCGCGGCGACAGCCTTAGAGGCGCTCGGAGCGAGAGCGGCGGATCTGCGCGTTTCACGGTCGGTTCGACGGGCCTTGAACCTGGCCGAGCCCGCCCGGCGGAGAGGAGAGATGAGGGACCGACCGGCCGACCGACAGGCGGACCGGGCCGACTGATGGATCGCCTCGCCTGCCGGGGGCGCGCCGCCGCCGCCGCCGCCGCCCACACGGGGTCAGCACAGGTGACCCGTGACCGTCCGCAGTGACCTCCGGCTCCGGCTCGACAGGAACAATGGCCGTCGACGCCACGGAGGCCGACAAACTCCTGAAACTCCGCAGTTCCGGCCGGAGCGGCGAGCTGTCGACACGGGCGCCGGCGTCCGCGCCAGGAATAAACGCCCCAGCTTGGGAGTTTACCCCGGCTGCAAACAACCCTTCATACACACACAGGGCCGGCATAGGGGCCTTGTGTGTATACTACCTGATGACGCAGCCGCAGCCGGCGAGCGCCGGAAAAGGCACTGTAACCCGACCGGGTCTGCCGCACCTGGCGGACAAACCTGGTATCAGCGGTGACCTGTCACCTGTCTGCGGCTCTGTGTACACACGCGCTCCGATCACCTGGTGTCACACGGCGTCACCTGGCGTCACCCAGCGTCACCTGGCGCCCGCTCGTGTCACCCGTTCACTCACTGCTCCGCTCAGTCCCCCAGCTGCCTGTGCGGCCGGTCGGGCGGCACACAAAGACCCACCGGCTCCAATCACTGCGACAGCAGCTGCTGTCTGACGGGTCCGGTCGGCCGACCGGTCTCGGGAGACCAGCCTCCCTCGGCGGCCGGCGGACACCGCGGCCCGCTCGGCTGGTCGCGACAGACCCCAGACGGATTGGCCGGTCGGTGGGGGACCGAGCGTGGCCGGCGAGCTGGCACACGACAAACGACAGCTGCCGCAGCTTACCGTCAGCACCGGACGCTGCCAGTGACAGCTGCGGCGGTCCGGTCCCCCGACACACGGAGACGGAGCAGCGCCACATGGCCGGCCGGGCCGCCGACGGGGGTCGAGGGGGAGCAACAGGGGCGCAGTAGGCGCGCACGTGTCGTATTACCATTCACTGCCCCTAACGCTGCCAGCATGCCATGAAAACTGGGGAACCGTGGTTCCGTTCCCGTCGGTGGAAACGAGGCCACACAAAACCGGCACACAGAAGGGTCGGCCACAAGCGGAAGTCTCCGAGAGCTAGCCGGAGCTGAGCTAGACAAACGTGCCGATGCTGAAATGAATAACGCAGCGTCATAAAGACGACAATTAACATGCGCCGGCGTCCCGTGGACAAGCTCTTCGGCACGGCGAGCCATAGATCGCGCGGGCGGGACTGGAAATCCCATCCCATCGGTCCGACAGCCTGGCCATATCGGGTGCGATCCGACCGTGCCAGGCCACTCCCTTCCTGATGGAACCGTCTCCCGGGGTCTCCGGACACTCAAAGACAACCCCTGCCGGCCGACGGAGCTTCTAAAGGACACCGTATGGACATGGTGGAGCCGCCAGGTCACAAATCACCAAGGAGCTCGTCGGCTGGCAGTCAACATCGCGCACATTCCTTACCAGCCTCGGGTGGCACCCAGTAAGGCTCGTCGCTTGAACAACGGCAGTCTGACTGAGTTGAGCATCTCTGCGCTCAGATCTAATCGGCGGTGGACACAGAATGGGAGTGCGCCAGACAAAACCGACGGGGACCCGAGGGAGACCGACGCGCCCCCTTACAGCCTTTACATCGTGGAGGGCACGCGCCCTTCCCCCAAATGGGAGCCGGTCGGGGGACGCCAGAGCGGCAGGGGAGTGAAGGGCAGCTCCACAGGGTGTCAGG